GCAGTAGTTTCACCTTTCCCTCAGGCCGTAAGGCCCGCAAAAACGAGCCTCGTACTCGTACTCGTACTCGTACTCAAAAGAGAAAGCTTCCTCCTCTCTTGCAGCAACAATAATGGGATGAATGTTATGAATGTGCAATCATACAGCTGACAGCAGCAGCCAGCAGCAGCCAGCAGCCACCGTAAACAAAGAAAAGGAATCACAACATCCGTCCGCCCATTCACCAGCGTCACAGTGCAGGTGACAAAACTCTCAGCAAGCCTGGCTTCGTGGGTGGAGAGAGGGGGAGACATGGGGACATGGAATCAAAGGGAAGTAACACACACAATAGAAACCTGCCGGCGGATATTAAAACTATTTTACAGCTGCTTTTGTGGGTAGTCTTTTCTGCCTTCACCACATGCTCTGCTCTCGACTTTTCATCATGTGCAAAGTGAAGGGATAGATTATTTTCTGCCGGATGTATGCAACAGGCACTGGGGAAATTGTCTTGACCTTATACAAAAAAAAAAAAGAAAAGCAAAGAAAAAACTTCACCCAAGCGTTGCCCCAAAGCTATTAAACCGTGAAACAACTCTCAACTGGGGAGTATCTCTCATTCGAATCACTCTGCGCCACTTCTGTGCTTTCCTTTTGCTGAGAAACTTTTATTACAATGCCAGAGGGGGCTGTCTGCCGTTCCCCTGCCCCTCTCCTCCATTCTCCTCTTAATTTATGATCCGTGCAATTTTTCGGGTGGGCATTCCGCTGCGCATTCCATTGCGGACGCCCAGCGGCGATATTTTCTACTGCTTCGAAAGTTATTACAGGAATATGAATTATCAGTCGAGTGTTTGCTTTGGAAATGGCTTTCCATGCCTTTCTGTCAGCAGGAAAAAAGTTCCTGGCACTACTCGGCACACGATGCAGAGGAAAAGTGTTTATCAACTTTTAAATCAAATTGCTGCCATGGAGGAGAGTCTTTGAGGCAGCAACTAAATCTAGTTTACATTTCACTAAGCTTCTACTCCAATTAAATTGAACCATACTCCATATGGTAGATATATGCACATGGATTCGTTCGCTCCTTGATGCTCCTTCCGTTCTCTGGTGGCTCTTGCTTTGCTTGCCACGTTGTTAACACGTGTTCGAATCATTTAGTTTTACTCGCTTTGAATATCCTTTATGTACCATAGCTCCATTGTTATGCAATGTCTTGATAAATGGCTTTACAGAGGATATGTATTCCATTCATCGTGCCTTTGTGGAACACACTCTCCCTGCCCGGCTGTCTGTGTGCCTGTCCGTTTGGCAGCATTTTGCATAGAAGGCTCCAAGATGAAATGAAAGCCTCAATGGATGCCCCACAACTTCACAGCATTATCAATTGTGTAGAACATTTTTGGAGTAATTCCCAGGGAATTTAATAAACATCGCGGGATTAAATGTACCAGCAGAGTGGGCAAGTGCCCGGCAAAGCGCACTTTGTAATCGGAGTTCATTTGGCATTTCATTTCGTGTCGGCTTATGCAAAGAGCGGAAGATTGCTCCGGCCTTTACTTCGCAGCCATTAACCTAATTGGCAGCGCAAGACTCGACTGTCCCCGTGTTTGGCTAATAAAATTGTTTAAGGATTACATGGGGGGATATCCACACTTTAAATTGTATCGCGGCATCTTCATCTTTGGCCTGACAACTTTTTCAGCGCTTTACCTTTTTGGCCCGCACAAAAAGGTAGGCCCTAAAGGGAGGGTCCTGAACCTGTGGAATAGCTTCTTAATGGATGGATGGATGGCTCGTGGCTCGTGCTTCTACTCCTGCTCCTTTCCAAGTGGATTAAATATTTGTGTGAGGGCTGGGCCAACTTTTGTGTGGCGAAAAGCTGTCGTCGGTCTATTAACACCTTTGCTTATGGTTAATTAATCTTGCTTGCTAACCGATATAATCCTATGGCTGTTACAACCCTCCAAGACACCAGCTATCTGTGTGTCTGCGATAATTACTAGCTTCGAGAGCGACTCTCAGGCCATTAATGGTATTAATTAACTGATGTCTTTGGGGCTTAAACAGTTTGGGACATTCAGTGATCAAGAGCACCGAATTGGGGGGCATTCAAGTCACAGTTAAAGCACTTCATTTGGGTTTGACATTACGCTTAATGTAATTTAATTAAAATTGATTGATTTGAGTGGGAATTTTCTGTGTATGCTTACCTCTGGGCTTGGAATATTTTCCATGAAGTTAAGAGTTCCCAAGCTATGAAACATTTCACATTTCTCCATTAGCTGTTTACGGTTAAGCTTGGCTTTAGCTTATTCACGGATTTTCTGGTCAGTCCCACAGCTTTTCCCCCAGCAGAATCTTGGCTTGAATACTCACATATTTCATTTACATGGCGCTGTTTTGACAAAGTTCCCACCCGACACACACAAAAAGCATAAAAATATGACAAACACAAAGTGGAATCCTCCGCGACGGTGCCACACGCGCTCTGGGGAGTAAAGAATGTCATAAAAAGACGTCTCCACATGTGTGGCAGGGTGGTGAGACAGGTTCCATAAGCCAGATGTTCGGGATAATGGAGGCAGAAGACGACGCGTTGGAGCAGACAAAATAAAATCACATTTTTACAGGCAAAGCATTTATGATCCATTATGCTCTTAGCCAGCGTCTGGCACGGCTTTTGTTTTGCGACAAATGAAAAGATACACAAAAAACAAGAACAAATATAAGCAGGATAAAATATAGAAATATTCACGGGGGTTTGAGTGTGGGGTGGAGGTGCATTCAAGGTCAGACCAGGCCAGAGACTTGAATCGATGAATTATCGAGGCAGTGGAACCAATGGAGCGTGGCATTCCCCTATAGGATTCAGTTATTTGTGCTCCCATGGCGGAGCACTCGCTGGCATTCCTATCGAAGCATTTGCCAGGACATGTTCCAATAGCCTGTGGCTGGAATAAATGAAATACTTTGAATGCAACGGACTCTCCTCTCATGGCACAAACTATTTGATCGAATTGCAGTACTTGTCCCTCATGGGAATACAATGAATATGAGTGATGGAGGAGGAACAAGGGAGGGAGGTGGCTTATTGTCGACACATTTTCAAGTTGCACACTGAAATGTGAATATCAAATGGGGGCAGGGCAACCACGAGAATGACAATAGAACCAAGGGCGAGAGAGGAGAAATGTTGTTGATATGCTGATGCTGATGCATCCATCCTGAGGTGTCTGTGTGTGGTTGTGTGTGTGTGCTGTGACACTTGAGAACAAAAAAATCGCTTAAGTGGTTCACTGTCTGACAGCGGCTGCTTGGCAGGCAGCTCTCCACTGGCGTTGACGTTGATTGTTGAGTGATAAGAGTGATAAAAGTGCTGCCCTAATGGCACTTGGCCCCCAGAGTCTATAGTGCTCAGTGCCGAGAGTCCATGCCTCTCCAATGTTTAGTGTCTGCCTGTCTGTCTCTATATTATCGTGCAAGTGTAGCGCACATTAATGCATCAGATTACATACAAAATATTTCTGTTTATTGGTCACCACTTTGAGCGGATAAATATGTGTTTTATTCATGCTTAATTCATGATATCCATGGCGTACACACAATCGCAATAATCATTTAATTATAGCCGCAAATCTTTGCCGTATTAACAATCAATTAATGCGAGCTCGATGCGCTCATCGCTTTTTTTTAAACTGATTTTCAATCCGATTATACGGGCGGGTGACAGCCACCACATATGCCATTGATAAATGTCCATTGTACATAATTTAATGTGAAGAGTAAACTAATTAATTAATAAATGCGTTTTTTTCTTGTTTTTTCTTGTGGCTGTGTTTGAATAGCTAAAAAAAAAAGCGACAACAAAATGGAAAAACTTTAATGTAACTTCCAAATGATTGTCGCACATTTTTCGAGCTCGTTGAAGTGGAAATCCATTGTAATGAGCCCACAAAAAGATAATTCCAACGATGACAACTGGAAAAAGGTCAATGAAACCCCCTACCCAGGGTTAGCAAAATGAATTACAAATGAAATTACAGTCCTTAAATAAAAATAAATCATGTTGATGGCTGATAATCGTGCATAACTAATTAGAAACGGAACCAACGAACCATCAAAAGTCCAATCAAATGTTGCCTGTCAAAATGAAACAATTTAGAAAAATGTGTGGTAAAAATTTGCGCGTTTCAATTTAAATTAAATGCACATTTTGCTGAAATTGTTGAATTAAAACAGTAATTATGCAAGAGCACGCCATTTGGATCACCGCAAAATGTTGATTACGCTCAAGTACAACGCACCACAATATGCTACGTAATTAATTAAACGGAGTTCATTTTTGAATACTGCATATGTTTTTCCACATCAAAGCACATAATAATGGCTATGCTCTGCATTTATTTCTATTGTTTAAGGGTATTTCAGATGTTATTTCAACGCTTGAAAATAACTTTCAAATAGCTGTTCGGCATGTGCCACAAATGAAATGAAACTCGGTTCGGTTTCGGTTTCGGTTCCGGTTCTGGTTCTTTTTTTTCCAAGGCAATTTCAGTTGCCAATTTTGTTGGAATACGACGCCACTGACTGACTTCTGGGCCAGGGTAATTTTTCATTCATTTATGACTTCAATCAGACATTGTTGCGGGTTCTCTTTCCCCTCTGTGGGCACTTTCTGCTAATGCTTTTTTCTCTCCTTCTCTCTGTGTTCCATTATTGTGGCATATTGATGGAACATGGGATAGGAGTCTTGCCGCATGATTGCCCGTCCCAGTCAGGCAATTGAGTTGGCAATATTGTCGTTTGGCCAAAATTAGAAATGATTGCCCGGCACTTTTTGGTTCCTTTTTTGTGTGGGATTCCCCTGTACCGGCATCCTGTTGTTGTGACTTTTTGTTTGCTCCTGAAAGTTTCCTGTTTTTAACTAACTTTTTCCTTTGAATCTCAGTGACCTTTATCCTCTAAATCATAGGGGAAAAAGTTGTATATTTTATTCAGTCATTCGCTAGAAGTCACCACAGTTCGATTTCGATTCCTGAATATAATTTTCGTTAAATTTTCAAGTATTAGTTTCTACATAGATTTTTGTGAACAATTCGCCAAAATGTTCCTGCGCGAGGATCCACGAAAAGCCGCAGCCCGAGATGTCACCACTGTGGCGCCTTATGTGGCAGCCGCCAAGCGGGGTCCCTACACCATGACCAATCTCGTGTTCAACAGCAACAATCCCTATCTGGGCAAAGACGACGAACAGTCGACAGAGATGCAGCAGCAGCAGCAGCACTCGTTCAACATCAATCGCAAGGCGCTGGAGCACAATCATCGGCACCACCAGCGATTGATACCCGTGGCCATTGGGAAGTCGCCGATGCCCCAGATGCGCTCCCCTGTGGTGATGAACGAGCAGCGGGAGCTGTACCGACAGCATCGTGAGCGGCTGACCACCATCAAGGGGAAGGTGAACACCTGCCTGCCACCGCCCAAGGTCAAGGTGAGTGGCAATGGCATGGAGCTGCCCTACATGGAGATGCTGACGGCGCTCTACAAGCGGAGCAACAACACGCTGCGAACGTTCACCCGCTCGCCGGAGCGACTGGCCGCCGGCCGCTGGCGTCACGTGAGCCTCGCCCGCGACAAGGAGCAGCGGCAACAGGAGAAGAACAAGCAGTTCCACAAGGGCGGAGAGCTCTTCGATCCGCTGGCGGGCAGATCGCGACGCAACAAACCAAAGGCCTTGCAGACCTTCAGCTACGAGATCCCCATGCACATCCTGCACCGCTACGAGAGCCTCATGGACCAGTGCGATGTGGGCAATCTGTGCAAGCTTCTGCGCCCACAGATCTATCTCGATGTCGCGGTGCGTGGCACACGCATCCAGGGTCGCCTCGCCATTCAACTCTTCACCGAGGCCTGTCCCCAGGTGGTGCTGGAGTTTATGCGCGCCTGCACCCAGGCCAACACTTCGGCCATCACCTTCTCGCGAACACTCACACCCATGTGGCTGGAGGGTCGCCTGGCCATGGGCCCATCCACGGTGCGCGATCAGGATATGCGCAACATTGAGCACGACTTCGATGTGCTCAATCACGGCGTCGACGCTGGCATTCTCTCCTTTCCCAGTCGCTATGTGCGCGGCCATCCCCGCTCCGCTGTTAACTTTACCATTAGCTTCCAACCGCTTTCGATCCTAAACGGCAAGCGGATTGCTTTCGGCAAAGTGCGCAAGGGATTGCAGCTGCTGGAGCGCATCCAGGATGCCACCGGTCACCTGGCCACTGCCCAAGGCGTTGTCGTGGCAACCGACTGCGGAGTGCTCTAAAAATCATCGGTCAAACAATTCAATAAACGAAATGTAAAACCAAAGCAGCCAGGGTTCCCTCTGTCATAGTGCTGTCAGCTTCATTTCAGTATTAAATCTTACTTCGAGCTGTGTGGAAGTGTAACCTACAGCAGCTACAATTTATATACAAGTTTTGTGAGTAATTCGAGGCAAGCCAAGACCTACCTTTAATGGCGCACCTTCCCCGACCCGACAGCTGATTGCCGTTGACGATGCCCGCTGACGGACTGAACAGCCCGCGGGTGCAGGGCCGTCGCAGTGGAGGAGACCAGAAGGATGCCTCACCATTCCCGGACAAGTACGACATGCGCGGCACACGTGTGCTGAGCATCTACAAGAGTCAGATCACGGAGGTGCCCGCGCAGGTGTTTGAGGAGGCGCGCCAGGAGCTGGTGAAGGTGGTGCAGCTGCAGGACAATCGGCTGTGCGAGGTGCCCAAGGATCTGCACATGCTGGGGGAGCTGCTCACGCAGCTGGATCTGACCAAGAATCAGATCTCGCACATACCCACCAACATCTCGCAGTTCTCGCGTTTGACCTGCTTCAATGTCTCGTGCAACTTGCTGCGTGACTTGCCACTGGAGTTTGGCGGCTTGCAGCTGCTCTGTGAGCTGAACATTTCCTTCAATCGTTTCGAACGGCTGCCCCGCTGCATCTACGATTTGCAGAGCCTCGAGTCGCTCTTGGCACACGATAATCACATCAAGGACATTGATGCCAGTGAGACGGGATTCGGTGCCTTGAAGAATCTCCGCGTATTGGATTTGAGCAACAATGATATAAGACAGGTGCCGCCCATTCTGGGCAACATGCGGAACATCCATATATTGAATCTGTTGGGCAATCCGCTGCGACAGCCGCGCCATCAAATTTTGAGCTCTGGCACGGAGGCCATTATGGCATTCCTGCGCACTCGCATTCCACTTTCGCAGTAGATATTTCCCTTCAAATTGTTTATTACTGTTGTCAAATTAAAGTTCATAAAACGTAGTAGTCCGTGGCTAAAACTGTCCCTAAAACTGTGAGCTGAAAATAGTTTCCCGTAGCCAACAAAATGTCTGCCGATAAAAAAGGAAAACCCGAAAAGCAGCAGTGAGTAGCAGTCAAACAAAGTTCAATTAAAGCACACGGATCTAAGCCTCATCTTTAGCAAAGACAGATCCTACGATGGCGATGCCTTCATTGCACAGTTCGCTCTTCGTGGCGCCCGGGAGATCATCATCCTGGATGCCGATGGCAACACTTTGCGCTCGACTGTCAGTCCGCGTCGCACCTTTGTGTATGTCTCGTCGCTGAAGCCGCTGGTGACGATGGCCAGGAATGTGGTGCGAGATCTCAATCCCTCCAACGATGTAACATTCTTGCGTCTACGCTCCAACGGGGGCGAGGTTCACATAACTCTCGGCACGGAGTTCATTTTGATAGTCATACAACGCATCAAAAGGAAAAGTGCAACTCAAAAGTAAAAACTACTAATACACGTACACAGATGGGGCATGCGTGTGTGTGTGTGTGTGTGTTACACATCAACAAAATGAAGATTAAATTGCTGGTCAAATGTGAATCATGGTCGAAACTCATTTGAAATGCAAACTGGCACTGGCAAGGGGAAAGGCAAACAAATCAGGCACTGGCTGGCAGCCACCAAAATGCGGATCAGTCGTCAATTATGCACCATGTTGCACATCCTATGTGCAGTTTTGCACTCTCTCCGGAATAGTGGTTCGGTTTGGGTTTGGGTTTGGGTTTGCTTTGGTTTGGTTTTGGTGGGCTTTTCCACCCACAATTAAGCCCAGCCTTTGACGCTGGATTGCATCATTAGTGGCCTCTCATTTTGGGGCGGCACTCATTTCGCTCTATAGACTTGAGCCATATCTGTTGTGCACGATAATGGCAATTAAATATCGCACGTTCGGCAACGTGTTGCCATTATTCATTTGCTGCCACAATATAGAAGTGTGTGCCCTGGACTGGGGGGGATCCCCTGGGGCGGCACGGGAAATGGCAAAAGCACACAAAAGTATTTGTTATATTTGTTACCCGATGACACTATTGTTTTCGTTGGTTTTGTGCATTTTATTCAACATTTTTGGGGGGTTCAAAATGGCATTGGGCCACCAGTGGCCATTTATTCAGCGGCTTTATGCTTATGGTACACATATAGACACACAGCCATAGATACATAAATATGTACCCACATTTTGTCGCCATTTAAGTCCAGTAAGTTACATATGTTTGGTTTTCGGGCCTTTGTGTTTGTTTGGGCCCATCGCAATATTTAATGAGGCGCAAATATTTATGCTTTTTGCCTTGACCAAATCCGCTGACCAAATATGGGATTATATTCCAAATAAATACTAAACAATAGGCTCTGGGGGATACCAAAACCCCAGCAATGGGATGGCAAATCAATGTTACATTTTTATATAATTTTGAAACAGCTTTAAATGCTCCAACTCCCTTCCACTCTAGGGTATCGATCAGATCTTGTGCGGCTTACTGCGACTGTTCCACGATTCATGTCCATTATGATTCAATGGAGTGGCATTTGGGGGCAGCTCTTAAAGCGGCAATAACGTGATTAAGTGACCAAAGCGGCACCAAGAGCTCATGCTGCCACATGCTGACATTTAATTTATTCGACTCGCTTCAATCCGATGCCGGCGGATGCAGGAAAACTGCAAATTGTTGACTTTTAATGAATGTTCGAGAGTTATAAATAACGAGGGAACAGCGCGTGAATTTGCATTGCAACGAAACAGACTCCTCCAACAGCCTGGAAATGGCAGTGCAGCGGCTTAAAGTCAACTGCAAAGGGGATACAGGAATCAGCGAACGGGTTAACGGGGTAGACCCTAAGGCCTAATTGAAATTTAATGCAGACAGACGACAGCTGCCTTCCGGCAAAAGTCTGGTGCGAGCTGAGACGTGAAATTGCCGAGGCATGCGGTAAATCCTGCGGCTATTTTCATAGATGATAGACACTTGAGTATTATCAACACATCCAATACGGAATTAAATGTTTTGCCTTTAACTTGTATGCCAACTAATTTCTGCGTATTAATGGCACAGAGACCAAACACGGAGTGAGCTTTGCAATTCAAAATCGTTGAAAAATGTTGCATTTATCATCATCCGCATACAAATGGTCGGCAGGTTTAATAAATGATGTGTTAAGTGAGCTGCCAAACATACACTCTGGGCGGAATGGAATCCCCACTAGACGAAATGATGTCCACACATTCGTATGAGTAATGGTCTTTCCGGGCGTCGCCATTTCGGGTACATTCCTCATCCACCCAGACCGCTCGTTCAACATGTGTTGCCCTTAATTAGTTGCAATGCAGATGGAGCTGTAGCAACAGTTCCAGCGCTCTCCATCTCTGGCTCTTCTGTCCTTCTGTCTGTCTGCTTGTGATTAAAAGTGCTGCCAAAAGTAACAAATGAGAAGTCCTTTATGGGCGCACATCAAAATATATTCACTGGTTGCCATGCATTCGATCTGCGCACCAAATCAGCGCTGCCTGTCACCGTGTCTGTGTGGCCACCACAAAAGTGTGTCCCGCTTTTAACCAATTTGTATTTTTATTTGAAACTCCCTTAGTCATGCCAGAAAGCAATTAAAGCAAATATTTGTATCAAGAGCAGTTGAAAATATGTCGTATGCGGCGGCTGCCATTGTGCATTCGGTTCGGTTTCCCTGAAACTATTTTTCATTGTTGCTGGGGGAGCGACCAGCCATTGTTCGGAGCAACAAAAGCCAGCCGCCATTTTCCACTCACATTTAATGAATTATTAATTTTAATTTTAATTACTTTCCAATTAAACATCAATTAAACGGGTGGTCCTTGAGCCGCCGAAGACTTAAAGTCTGTCGTGATTACAGCCCCACAAAGAGCCCACACTTGAGGACACACACATCCAATCAGGCAACCAATTCATCATTAGGAGCCCTTCCGCCAGAGCCGCATGAGCAGGTGTACGAGTACTTATGGCAGGCGGTGTGCAGAACATCTCATCAATACACTTAATTAATGAGAGCTCAATGCGGCGGCAAGTCTCTTTGGCATTAATGTCTCAAGTTGAATGGGAAAACGCCTTGCGATTGAGCATTAATTAACTGCAACTTTTGTCCAGCCTGCAGCCAGAAGCTCTCTCGCCAGAAGGCTTACTGTAATTACATGCAGCACCCACTGAAAAAGAGAAACTTGCCCCAAAACAGCCGACGCCTGCCTCCCCAGCCACGACCATGCACCATGCAGCATGCAGCGTGCAGCGTGCAGCACCTGCCGCCAAAGGCAGACAAACCACAGCAGGCAGGAAGCATGCAAAAGTAGACCATCATCAGAGGGAAGCTGCTCTTATTTTGTACTTCAAAAACATATCATGTGTAGCCCCCCTGCATACCCCAGAGACAAGGATAAACCGCGCAGGTGGGATGTGCAGGGGTTGTGGCCACGCCAGGGAAAAAAAAAGAAACCAGATTAATAAGGCAGTGTACGGACGGGGATCTCAGCAAAAGTCAACGAAAGAAAGGGAAATGTATGGCATAGACTCGATAGAAAGGACAACTTCTTTGTTACTTTGTACCTTTTTTCAGCGTGTGTGTTTCCCAGCACATTTATTCTGCATTTTCCTACCTTTTGCACTCGTGCCACATTTAAGCAAAAGCTTCAAATGTTGCTGCTAATATGGTTTGACTTTTAAACGTGCAACGAGCAGCTTTTGGGTTTGTTTGTATGTCCCCGTCCCTGGAGGATAGCTTTTCCTGCGATTTGTATGTGTGTGTGGCGAATGCTTCATAGGAAGTTTTGATGCAACTTTTCTGAACACATTTACGCCATTTTTCTGTGTACGTGAGAGCGCATATAGCAAACGGAAAAGTTCTTCACGAAACATAAACAGCAGAGAGACAGGGCCGAAGGTTCCTTAGGGATTCGTTCGCTTCGGCGGGAGGGGCGCACTTTAATTGCAGCCAAGCGGGCGATTATTTTGGAAAGTTGTTCGTTTTTTTATTTTTAGATCTTTTAGCGAGCGAAACAGAATCACAAATGCCGTGCACGTATTTATTAAATTCCGTTTGCAGCGTTTTTGGGTTAAACAACTTTTGAAACCCGCCTCCTGCCACACACCATTTAGGTGTGTCTTTGTGTGTGTGTGTGTAGGCCTAACCGAATGCTTTTGTGCATGAGTGTATGTTAGGGGGTGTGGGTGTCGCTTTGGCAGCTTCAACTCTCAGTCAAATACTTGTAATCTGCATTATTTGGATTATATTCTGAATGTGAATCAATAATTCATATTAAACCTGATTTATGTGCCACCCAAAGGGGGTTAGGGGTGGGCGCAGGTCTAAGGGCACGTAATGCCATTATGTATGCATAATGTTGGTTAATTTGCATCGACTGCTGCACAAAGGAGCAGACTGCTGCTGCTTATCAAAAGTTTTCACGTACAGCAAATGAGGGAAATATTAAAATGAAAACTTTTGCGTATGTGCAATTACCTGAGAGGAGGAGGCATGCCAAAGGAAGTGCTTGTAGTGAGTGGCAGATAATATTTTGTAAATATATTTAAGTAATAATAAACACAGCTGAACAAATGAGAGAGAGAGAGAGAGTTTTAATTGAAAATTCCGCAAAGGCAACACGTCAAGGATGTGAATCATAAAAGTATCAACAGTCTGACGACGACGACGGCGACAGCGACAGCGACAGCTTGTCCTGAGAAATTAAATACTTATTATTCAAAAGTAAACACATACTTCTGGCAGACACTGTTGACAGCAGCTTCTTCGTGGCGGGCGACAGAGAAACATTCATTTTCCGCTTTCGTGGAATAAATTTCGGTATTTCCAGTGTGGCAGTGGCATCAGTGTCTGTGTCAGGACATTAATTGGCGCATCTGCTGCCTTGGTGTCACTGCCTCAAAATGTAGTTAATTAACCCACGAAGAATCCCTTGCAAAGGCAATCTGTGTGTGGCAATAACTAGTCGATTTGCGACTCCTTCTGCGGCTGAATGCACTTCATCCCATGGCTGCATGGCAGGATAGGGAGATGCTCTCGACTCTCGTCACTCTCGCCACTCGCATTCTCTGCATTCTGTAGATTCTCCACTCGACCACAAATTTGCTTTAAGCTCTTGCCATGCCCCAACAAACCAGGGCAATCAGTCAACGGGTTGGGGTAGCATTTTGTCAAGCAGAATCAGCTTTGACCCATGTGTGAAGTGTGCTGCCGGCGGGGCAAATCTTATAAATAAGCCAGAGAGAGCTAGCTGGTTGCTGGAAAAAGTAGCAGCAGCAGCTCGTTGCCAGCACAATTTGCATCTGAAGCACAGCTCCAGGACACACACACAGCCATACATTTTGTGTCCTGTCAGCATTGGCTTAAGGACAAAGCAGGAGCAGCAACCTTATATGGTGCTCCTAGTGCTCCTGCTGCTGCTGCTGCTCTTGTAAATGTGCCTGCAATGAAATGCATCGTCAGGCTTGAGAGGGGAATCCTTTCCTCTGGGGGGTTGCTTGGGTCTGGGCAGCCACAGTTTTGTGCATTAACACGCACGCATAGAGCACACACCACTTGGTTGAATTCAGAATCGTTGTCCTTCCTTCCTGTTGCCCTTGTTGCCAGTTTGGCATGTCCTGTGCTGTGTGTGTGTTGGCCGTGTTCCGGCAGCAGGTGCCGCCATTGTTTCTGACGCTCAACCCAAAAATTCGTGCAGCAGCAAAGGAGTCAGTAGTCCTTTGGCACTTTTATTTCTTTATCATTTGGCAGCGAACAATAAAGCGGAGGCGGCAGCAGTGAAGCGAGTTGTCATCCGCGACCAAAGCCTGTGCCAAGTTTGCTGCAATAACTTAAAGCCCGGATTATGCACGGACAACGATAGTTGCTCTGTGGGTGGTTGGTGGTGTGGCATGTCGTTTCGTGTCTGCTGCATCAGCAATTGCGGCTGCCTGCTGTGGCAACTAATGATATGCAATAGTTCTGCCATTCAAACGCCACTAATGGAAGTAACTTGAGTGTAAATTCAAAAGCGGATTTGCGGCTCTCTAATCCGGCAACTAAATTATTTATTCTGCATTTGTCTTTTGTCGATGCTCGTCTATGAAACATTGCAACCACTGCCACTGCCACTGCCACTGCTGCTTCACTATCCTCAAATTTCGGATGGAAATTTCGTTTATTTTAATGGCATCTGCCACGTGACCCATCGATGGGTTGCCATTGAGTTTTTACGCTCGCTTCATTGCCATTTTCGCTGTGAGTTTTAAAACAATTACGAGGTTCGAGTCCTGGATTCGGTCTCATTTCTCCTTTCTCCCCTCTGCCCTGTTTTCTTCCCTCTATTTCTGTGTGTGTTTCGTCGTCGGTGACTCTGCTTGGGGTTCTGTATCGGTTTCTGTTTCGGGTTTGCCGTTGCAACTCTTCCTCGATTACGCCAGACTTAACAATGCGAGGAATTAAGCGAATTTCCCATTTTCATTACTTTGGAAATTGAAATTGGTTTTCCCCTTCCCTTCGGTGGGAGAACTCCGAACTACCTCCAGCCACTGCGCCAAATCCCTAATTGATTCGAACTGAATGGGAAGATTTATCACCGCTTTGACAGTGGGGAAAAAAGAGGAAAAACCTGAAGCTGAGTCTGTGGCCAAAGCTGGGGTTAAATTATGAGCCGCAGATAACTAAATCGTCCGGATAGCACGACAATCTCTGACAGCACAGGGACACAGCCTCCACATTAGCGTACTAAATCCACTAGTCAGTTGGCAGAGGGGGATTCGGGGGAGTAGCTTAATGTTTTGCAGTTCGGTTATATATCATGCGGTGATTTGTGTGGACTTTTGTAGAGCGGCCGACTCTCTGGCGACCCACAGACAGCCGACGAGGCACTATAAATCAAGGGGCGAGCGACATATCAGGGGGGAAGGAGTCTATATGTCGGTTCGTATGCGTGGCAAAACTTAATAAGGAGTGCGACAGACAACAAACAAATGATGCAAATAGCAAACGGAGTGAAAGCTGTTCTTTAAAGCTGTTTCTTCCATCCCCCCCCCCCACAACCGCCCGATAACATTTCTCAGTGTCAACGCACGGAGACGGAGCCCGTCGAGACAAAGACGTAACCATAGAGATATAGATTCGCAGAAGAGATACGTTAGATACAGCCAAAGAGAGCAAAGGAGAGAGAGTGGGAGAGCAAGAGCGAGACATCAACGTCAGGCAGGCAAAACAGATGGACCGACAGGCAGGGGCCCAAGCGGGTCTGGGAGCTGCGAGAGTTTTCTTTTGATTTATCGCGCAGTATGCGTAGTAAAACAAAGACGTAGATGGAACAGCAAAACCCGAGGGAACACTCAAACTCCATCCAATTATCCTGTTAAGTTTCATTATGTCAGTGTGCTATTTTTGGTGGCAGGAAGTGATGCCGCTGCCATTGTTCGCCATTCGCCATTCGCCCTTCGCCATTTTGGGTCCGCTGCAGTGTGCCTGCCTGCCGCTCTCTCTCTCTCTCTCTCCCTTTTGGAGTGACAACATTGCGGTTTCGCCGGGTTGTCATCGACGTCATGCGAGAACCGACCGCAGGACAACCGCAATGCCATCCCAGACCCCCATGCTACTCCTTTCTGTTTGCTTCTCCTCGCTGGCTGATAAATTGTCCGCATTCACATGCTTTGCCTTGATTATGGCGTAACAAATTGTCGCTGTTTTTGGAACGGAGACGGAAGGCAAGACTCACCCGCCTCTGTCTGCATTTGGTGTGTGCATTTTTGGAGCTAATTCAACCATTCTCATGCATATTTTCAGCTCTGCAATGGATCTGAAGACTGGCACACTGTTGGTTGCACCCGCCGTAAAGAACTCCAGCTGCTCGCATCCCCGCTACACCGGGCACAATTTCATCGCCCACATTGGCATCGCGGAGACCATTGAGGCGGTGCTCATACTGGTCCTCACACTGGGCGTCATCGGTGCCAATTGTCTGGTCATTTTCGTCATAAACAATCGTCGCTATGCCGCCTACATACACCAACAGGTGAGGGAGGACCAGTCCCTGTCCATGTCCAGGCAGCACTCATGTTCCAACCCCAAAACGTAATCCGTTTGTATTCCATTTAAGCCACGTTATCTACTCACCTCTCTGGCACTGAATGACCTGACAATTGGCCTGCTAATTACACCGTTTGGGCTAATGCCGGCATTGTTCCACTGCTGGCCATATGGCGAGATCTTCTGTCAGATACAGGTGAGTGAGCCGGACAACAGGTGGAAATACGGCTCGGAAAGACAATAATGTGCGGCATAATGCTGGCCAATTAACCCACAACCGCATAACCCTCGGCACTCTACTCTGGACGCAGACACAGGAACAACAGGCAACAATTAGGGATGCGATCAAGTGGAATAACAATGTGTCTGTGTGTGTCTGTCTCTGTGTGGACATTCGCTTCGTAAGTCACTGGAGAGGAGAGGAGTTATGTATGTTTAATAACATCAAATGCCAAAGAATACGCCGCATAACATTGGGGTTACGTGCTGCATTGTGCAATATGTGTCGAGGAATGAACATTGAAGTTCCATTGCAAGTATTTCCATTCGATTTTTGCACACGTGCTGGTCGCACGGTGGTGCGGGGGGTGCGAGGGTTGCGGGGGTTGCAGTGCAAAATGTATATTAAAAATGTAATATCTATATTATAATATTGAAAGCTATCTAAACAAGCTAACCGTACTCCCCTTTCTTTCCCGTTAGGCACTGCTGCGTGGCGCGCTCTCACAGCAAAGCGCCGTTATACTCGTGTGCATGGCCGTCGACCGTTATATGTGCGCGTTGCATCCGCGACGCTACTACCAGCACTCCAGCAAGAAGGTATGTGTGTGTGTGTATGTGTGTGTGTGTCTGTGTGTGTGTGTGTTTAGATAAGGCACGAAACGGAACTATCCTCGAGATAGCGATTTATCCGCGAAACTGAAACAAAAGCTAACCAAAAGCGGAATGTGGGCGAAATTGCAAGAAATCACGCGTCAACAACAACGAAAACGTCTTCTAGGAGCCAATTACGAGGGCATAAATAAGGATAATGGGCTTTAAGCTGCTTGCCAGTCATTAAAAAAGCAAACAAACAGCTAGAGAAAGCAAAGCGAGGCCAAAAAAAAGAGACACAGAGAGCGTGAAAGAGAACGAGAAAGAGCAGCAAGAGCAAGCAAAATAGAAACCGGAACCCAATAGACATTTGAAATGTGTATAAAATAAAGATCAAAAAGATAGAAGAACGATGCGAAAAGTTGAGGCGGGCTTGGACTAACTTGGAGGACCACAGCAAAGTCCTGGCACCCAAGTCAGGGCAGGCAAATGAAGCGGCACCTCCCATGGAAACCACAGGCAGCAGACAGAGAGAGAGAGAGAGTGAGAGCCAAAGACCAGAAAAAAGAGGCAGCAGCCAACTCTCCATTTTCCCTTTTTCCTCCATTTACACTATAATTTATGAGACTCGACTGTGTGGGAAAGGGGAAAAGCGCAAAGCAAAAGGGAAAGGGCGAGGGAGAGGGAAAATGCTCTTGACAACAAGCGTTAATTACGATTCAAAAACAAAACAAAAAAATGCCTTTAAATATTCAGAGTGGCAATGGCAAATATATTGTAAATTCTTAAAAATATTCGCAACGTTATTGGAAAATATAAATTAAATTGCTTTCAAATGCACTTCGCGCTCAAACAAGAGTTTCAAATTGGCTTTGCATTTAAATTTAAAAAAATGTAAGTCACAGCATGTACATACATTTTTACATATGTACATATATATACAATAATTGTTGTTGCAAAATATTTACATAAAATTGCCTTGCAGTTCGGAATTTGTATTGTCCTTCCGCTTTGCTGTCTGGCATACCAGAAAATGGAGCAAGCAACCGAAATTGGCACACTGCCATGCCCCATTTTGCCATAAAATGAGTTTGCCATGTTGAAAATTAATCAATTTCTCCCAATGCAGGGCGCCAAACCTCGCAATGGCATAAACACTACACATATTGTTGTATGTGGCTTGAAAAATCTTTAAGAATAAAAGAAAAATTTAACGTAAGAAACGGAATTGAAGGAGTTCTTTCAGCAAAAGTTTAGAGGTTGAGGTTTTGCATTTTAGTTTGACGTTTATTATTGATGAAATTTCACAAAGCAGTGCAGGGTGAGGCACGGTCTGACCTGTCATTCAATGAAACTTAATGTTTATTACAGTAAACAGTTGCAAAAGCTTTTATGCTTTTTGCTTCATTGTAATTTGCTGAAAGTACGAGTATATTTAGGTACTCTGGAAAATGTAAATAATTTCTGTTACTTTTCGGCTTCACTCACTGTTGCATAAGTGCACAACAAAACGATGGATGGGGTTGTAAATAAAATAAAGTCCGAAGGGGGGCAAAGTGAAAAACCAAAAAGTTGTTGTGTGTTCCATTCTGGCCGAGACACTCTCGAGTTCCCAGTATTGCCAATGTTGCTGTTTTTCGGGGACAGGCAACTGGTCGCCAGTGCAGTTAAGCAGTCACTCAGGCAGGCAGGCAGGCAGTCAGGCAGGCAGTCAGGCAGTCCAACAGTTAGTCAGTTATGATTGTGGCAGGCTTTTAACAAAAGTTTATCCCTACCACTCTGCCTTTTGTGTGCCTTCTCCTGTTTTTAATGTAATCAAAAGTTTTTAATTCCATTTGTGAGATTTTTGGTTTGATTGAAGAGTGAATGGTTGTTGTGAATGGTGGTGACCCTTTGCAGCTGTACAACTACTTAATTGAGGTGCATTAGTGATGAAGCAACAACTCTCGATACCTGCACCACAATCAGGGACAATGTGGCACGTTTTGCTGCAATCGTGCAGCAGAAACAGCTTGGGATATGAAAACATGAAAAGAACTTGCCTAAAACACAATCTCTATGTATATACCCCGTTTGCTTGCATATTTCTCAGGGTTGTGTTGCCATTTTAAGCTTAACCTGGATCATCAGCCTCACGGTATTTGGCTTTCTTGTGCTGCCCAAAGGTGAGTTTTTGCTGCCACTGCCAAGCGCTTGCTACGTTTTACATGAACTCTATATCCCTTCCTATCCACCCACAGGTTACTACTTCAACAATACGGGTCTAATGGCCTGCGAACCCTTCTATAGCAAGCCATCGTATAGAATTTTATCGACATGCGCCTTGTATTTTCCCACAACCATGGTGCTGATGTACTGCTATGGGTCGAGTTTCCACATGAGCCGGTTCCGCCTGAATGATCCGACAATGCCCCTAACGGCGGCTGCCCACCATCCGCATCCACATCTACATCCGGCCCAGCAGCAGCAACTCCAGCTGCAGCATCAACAGCATCAACAGCATCAACAACATCATCATCAGCATCAAAATCAACACCACCAACAGCAGCAGCAACACATCTACCATGGCCATTCGCATCATCCGCACCATCCGCATCACCATCATGGAGGGGCGCCCGTGATGGGGCACCACCTAAGCATGGCCATGAGCATGGGACTGGCCGGGATGCCGAGCATGACAAACAAGATTACCAAAAAGGTGGGTAAAGGGTGGAGAGCCTGGCACAGCAGAGCCGAGTTTGGTGGGATTAAGTTGGGAGTAAATAGATTCAACTTTGGCTGCCATTCCACAAACAAATTGAAAATGCTATCGAGCCGAGCCGAGGAGAACCCTCTCTCTGCCAGCTCATAGAGCAAGCAAGCTCTGATGATATTAATTGCATTGTCCAATATTTCACAGATGGTACCCATACAGGAGAAGAACTCCACTGGATCCACGTCACGTTCGATGGCTGCCATTTCGTTGGGTTTCATTGTTATGGTCACGCCATGGACCATACAGGAGATAGTCACTGCATGCACCGGCTCCAAGGCAAGTGGTTCTCTACTCTCTCCCTTTCTCTCTCTCTCTCTCTCTCTTATTCCTTTTCCTTTGATTCATTTTGCCCTACGACATACGTGGCGCATACGTAATGAATGTTGAATGTCTGCCGCATACCATACCACGTCTGCCGCATAAGCTTTGATTTTCTCTCTCTCTCTCACTCTCACTCTCATCCTCTCCCTCTGTTTCTCTTTCTTTGTCTACAGTTGCCGCCGTTTCTTGATTTTGTCGTCACTTGGACAGCGCTGAGCAACAGTCTCTGGAATCCATTCATGTATTGGCTACTCAACTCTGACTTTCGCCGTCTCAGTCGTCAATTGATGCCAAACAAAGTAAGTGTCTGGCTTGGGATAGCCCTGCTCTGGGTCCTGCTCCACCTACCGCTCCACCTCCCCTTTGTTCCTCTTTAAAATCTATCAAAATTGAAAACATGTTCGCTGTCCGTCCAATGTGTGCCAACAAAAAGCTGTCATAAGTCCTGATTGATTGATTTGCTTATCCCCTGGATTTTCCCTTGGCTTTCCAAAAACACCCAAACTAAAGCCATAAGCCGAAGCCGGGCTTCCTTCGGCAGCTTCCATATTTTCGAGGCAGCTGCATAAACTTTCCAGCAACAATTGAAACTTTGCCATAAATCTCCGAGGAAAAAAGGTGTAAGACACATGAAGCTCCGGCTCCGGCTCCGGCTCCAGCAAACGAGCAACAATAACGAAACTGTGTGCGAAAAGTGATTTTGAATTATGAAAGAGAAAATCTAAATCGTCATTTACATCGTCTGACCCTCTATACCCATTGGCCTCATGGCTCCATGGCTCCATGGCTCCATGACCCTGTTTTATCCTGTTCATCCATGCATCTATTTTGAGGAGGGAAAAACGCAGTCAAGTTGCATGATTTACTTCCGCCCGAAATTCTAAACTCGCATGAAACTGGACTGGAGGTCAGTCTGTGCTGGATTTATGGCCAACATTTTGGGAGGGCATAACCTTGCGGTGATTTTTGTTGCCAGCACTGCCAGCCAAATCCTTATTAATTTTTTGCACTGGAATGGCAATGAATATTTACGATGCACTCGTTTACATTCTCTTTCTCGTTTCGTTTCAGTGCTTCCCCAATGAGGAAACGCCCGACCACAAATCAGCCTGTTGTCACATCAATGCAAACGATTTTGAGATCACAACTTTGCCCGTGCCACCGGAGCCGCCCGCCTCTAGGCCGCCGGGCAATAATGGGGGTGCCGGTGCCGGTGCCGGTGCTGGAGCAGCCGGAACGGGCAGTGGAGTCGGTGGAATTGGCAGCTCCATTGGCGGCTCTGTGCTGGGCATTTGCGGACGCTCCAGGGCCAACAGTTTGAGTCGCAGTGCCTCGCAGTGCATCCGGAGCACGATGGGCGGTGGACACGGTGTCTACGCGCATCAGGCAGCGACCAACGAGGCCTACCCCACAATGCGGCCCGACATCGAAGGCCTCTCCGAGAAGTACTGGGGCGAGATACTCGAACGCACCGTCAGCTCGGGCAACCTCAACGCCATGCAAAAGACTTTGCCCCATTTTCCCTACCACCAGCACCACATGCACCAGCTGCATCAGCCGCAGCAACACCATCGCCAGCAGCAGCAGCAACAACAGCAGCAGCAGCAGCAGCAGCAGTCACAGCTGCAGACCACGTCCTTCAGCAAGGCCAGCGATTTGCAGTTGAATCTGTGCAAGGACTCCACTTCCGCCTCCGACCTGGGCAAGTTCTCCAACTCGGAGCCCAAGCTGTGCGAGCATCTCTTTCACGATGTCAACTGCGCCAAGAGCAAGGCATTGGGAGAGGCCGAGTCCTCCGCCAAGTTGTCTGCGGGTCGCAGCATTCCGGATATTTAGTACGCAGAGGACGTCATACTCGCCAGCCAGAGGGCCCGCCAGGCCACCAAGTGCTCGCACCATCCGCTGCACCAGCAGGCCCGGCTGCACCATGGCGTCCACCATTCGAGCAGTCTGCGGCTGAATCGCATACGCGTCTCCTGCCACAGTCCGCCGCCAGAGGTCACAGCTGCCTCGGCCATGGCCGAGTATCGTTCGTAAAGACAAAAAGAATCCATTTATTGATGGTGGAAATGGTTTGACCATAGAATGTGTGTCTGTGTGATGTATCAGTATGTGTGTTTGTCTGTCTATAATATCGCATGATCATCCAATTGTAATATGTGCATGTGTGTCGTAGGATTTCAATACAAAGATATCGTAAATATTGGCCTGCTGTAGATCCTCTTTGCATTAAAAAACTTTCCCATCGGCCCCGAAAATCTCAAATGTTAACCATAGTAAGTGTTCATTCAGTGTTTGTGATACCCTAAGATACCCTAAAGATACATAAATGTTGAGTGTTGTATGATATTATATTAGATATATGTAAGAATGTATGGCATGTATGTGTGTGCATTCCATTGATCAACCAGGTTGACTTGATAAAGGAGAAAGCTGTCCAAGAAGTGTCAAAGAGAAGTCAGACTTTCCTCTCAGCTAATGCATGTCCTTTCTCCAACTCGTTCCCCCTCCCACTTCAGGAGCGGGTTTTATGAATGGTTATGGACCCTTAAAGCGTTGTGGTTAATCATAGTCCTAGTTGTCTAGCTCCAATCGAATCTATACTCACAGTCTAACGAATCGGAATCGGAATCGGAATCAAAATCAAATCAAATCCTAACTTTGTGATTGTCAAGAATTTAAGTTAGTCGGTGTACAATTATTGTTAAATCATCATCTAATTTGTAGCTATAACGGATTAGTTAAATCAAATCAATTTAATGTCTAAGCGAACATTAGTTTAGACCTTAATAAATAATAACAGCAACAATAGATATGCATAGGATAAACGAAACGAAAAACTACGAATATAATGGATTTAAAATGCAATACCAAATAAATATCATGGAAACAAGAAGTAGTTTTACTAACAATAATAAATACGAGTACACTAGCCACCGTCTTATCATGAAATATTATCATTTTTGTCGCTTTTTGCATCGTTTAATTTTCATTTGCTTTAAATTATTCTCTTCTCTCCACTTAAAGGTGCTCGTAATCCAATAGCAATTATATTGGAACCATTTAACAAAAGGAAGCCAACAAACTTATCCCAAAAAGAAACACAACAGCAAAAGTATAAAAATGGAGAGCCCCAGCACATTCCGCACCCATGGAAAACTTTGACTGAAACGAAGCTAAATAAATTAAAAATTATTCAAATTTGATTTTTATTGTGCCCCAAAAAAGACCGCGCCATGCCATGCCATGCCACCACAGATGACAGCAAGGCCCAAAATGCAAATTAATATCGCAAACTGCGTTCAGAAATTTCATTTGGCCACACAACAGCGGCGAAAAATATGTAAAAGCCAACGAAAGGAACAGCGATGGAAGTGCAAGAGAAACGCACACGAAAAGTTGAAAAACTAATTTTCACAAAACAATTTTCAACCCCACCCGCTCCCCCTGCCACTCTCCCCTAGGGGCTGCGACGTTTCTTTGGCAATTTGAATCTCAAACTGAATCCGTATCTGAATCCGGATGTGAATTAAAATTTGAATGTGAATTCTGCTCTCGTGCTCTCGTGCTCTCGTGCCCTGAAAAAAATTACACGCTCCGCTGCATTTTGTAACAATAATCGCCGGTGTTTGCCGTCTGACCACGCCCATCAGCAACCACCAGCCGCCCACCGTATCCGCCGCCTGAGATTCGGCGTGAGGGTGAAACAACTTTTCGCATGAAAGTCAACTTTCCACCGCTTTCGGTTCGCTCCGCACGCAGTTCTTGCTTTTCTTTCTCAGATTCCCATTCGGTCGCCATCGCCATCTGTATAATTTGACGCCCGTCGGGAATTGGTTTTAGCACCATTTGGAGCCCGGCCTGCACTTCCTCGCCTGCCCCTCCTGGCATAAGATTTGGCCTCATTTTATTAACGCTAATTGGGGGGTCCATCTAATTGCGGCAGCCGTCGCACCACCGTATCATGTGGAACAGTTTCGCAAAGTTTGATGACGATTTATAAACAAATATTATATTCACGAAAATGCGTACATTATACAGAAAGTTATCGTAGAGTAATGGATCGCTAAATTGGCAATCCATTTAAACAGTTTAACAGTTTTTGTAATTCCCTAATTTTCGGTCAAACGCAATTAATTGTCATCATAAACATTTGTTGCAAACTGCGGTTTGCCATCGCATATCCAGAGGGCATCGGTAGAGATATTTCTCCTGATGGTTTGCTGTGTTTCTACTAACCACTACCGTTTGCCACCTACATAGGTGCAAGCGCTTTTGCCGCTCTCGCCATTTGTGGGCAACATAAATTATTCGACGGATGGGTAAAACCAAAAATTCTGATGTCTTGGATAATATCCAAGACTGCGTGTCATTTTCGCAAAGGCTGTCGAGGTGCATTCCAAATGCTCTAAAACTGTTGTCTTCAGTGTCGATTTATTGTGGCAGTCCTCATATTCCAATTTCTGATGATCAGCGTCCCTTAAGGGGGTAAGTTTCCTGTATCTGAAGGACTTCTTGTAGATATGTCTTTTAAACCATGGAACCATTGTTATGCCATAAATATGGTACAAGGCAATGGACGATCTTGTTTTATGAGGATAGCACACGCTGACCAATTTCTTATCGTCGGGATAGTAGTCAACGACGGGGGACGACGCCAAATGGATTCGGGGCACCCGACTCATCCACTGGGCAGCGAGTCGCGTATCCCTCCAAACATCGCCGTAGGTGACGGTCCAGGGGTTTATAGGCTTTGCCCTGCCCATGATGCCTACCATTCCGCGTGCTAGTGGGATGGTCAGCTCTTTGGGCCATGTCTTCGTTTCCCCTGTCCCGTTTTGATAAAAAACAGCTCGACCTCGACGTTGCTTACCGTCAGCCTCTATCTGCTCACTGCCACTCTTGTTGTTAGCCATCACCATCGGTGGATTTTTCATTATATTCGAGCCTACAGGCACTCCAACAGACACCAATTCATTTATCTGTGTAGGGGCCATGAGAGTCTCCTGGGCGGGCTGCTCGTTCAGCTGGATCGGCGCTGCTAGTAAGACCGCATGTCGTCGATGGTTCATCTGGGTTGGACAGCGTTGAGTTGTAATGAGAAGCAAATGAATACATCGATCCTCAGTACTTACGCCAAGCAGCAGGCAGAAAACGCAAAGCATACAATACAAATTTATCGGCCCCATTTAACGATTCAATTTTATTTGACTGAGAATTTAAGATAATAAATTTATTTGGATTTTTAACACAAATATGAACCGTAAACTATACTATAAACATACAATGAAGTAAATGGCTGGGCATGCTGAGCAAAGCAAATATATGTGTGAGTTCAATCCAAAGCCAGCTGGACTCGAAATCATTAGTTGTGTTAGCTCATCTGTTAGTTAGGCCACCTGTTTCAGTCACTGATAAAACCCGATTCTTATGTTGAAAAAAAAAAGCGGAAAGTTCTGGAATAAGTTCTTAGATAAGTGTATAATAATTTATTCACGGCTCTAGCCTAATCCTCCACAAGGGTGAAGTAAACATTTGTTGCAAACTGAGGTCTGCCGTCGAATGTCCAATTCGCCAGGTAAAGATATTCCCCAGAGGGCATTGGCAAGGGTATTTCAACCCGGTGGAAATCGCTTATAGTCTGCAAGCCCTTTAGATCGATCCATTGATAAGAAAATACATTTGGAGAATAAACACTCAACCACACATACCACATAAGGACAGGTGTGATTCACTGTGGACACATTCTTGATCAAGTTCCAGACAATCCTGAACACCGGATGATTTCGTTTCCTCATGAATGCGCAGGCATCTAAATAGAAGTCAACGAGAAATGGCTTGTAGCCATTGGCCCTCTTCATCAATTTTATTCGTACATGAATGTTGTTTGCCGGTTCTAGAATGGTTAAATTCAAATTCAAGCTAGTCTTGTTCCGGGAGTAGGCCTTCAGGCGGCAGTAGTGAAACTGCACCCACGATTCGTTGTACGACGGACACTTGGCATTTGTCATCTTTACAAATGGTGCCTCCTGAAACACTTTGCTGGTTAGTTTATATCCTATATCCTCCAATCAGATAGTTACAGATAGGCTTACACTACAAGCCAGGAAGCCAGCGAACAGTAAAAGTCCAGACCCGAGCAACTTAACGTTCATTCTCTTCGGTGTAAAATTAAATTGTGAAATGTTGACAGAAATATGCTTGTTTTTATCATTTGTTGCATGATTACAAATATGATAAAAGGCACATTAAATATCCATTATATATATATTATACACATAACTATAAACAAAACAACGACTGGCTCTTAAATCGATCGATCGAGAGCATTTCAATGTCGCATAAATTCAGGCATATCTTTAACTGTCATTCCGAACGATCCATTTGAGAGAAATCAATCTACACACTGAATTAGCATCACAAATAGATTCGAAATTGTAATTACTCCTCGTGTTTTGTGATCTGCTGTTGATCCATTAAACAGAGAACATGCACAGGCCACGCTCTCGGGTGCATCCCGTTGTGGTGTCGGCCAAGCGGTTTGAGGCAATCCAGTCGCGTGCCCATCAGGAGCAGAAGCACGCCCAGCTGGCGGCCGTCGAGGAGGAGCGGCGGTACAGGCAGTACCTCAAGGAGGGCAGCGATCTGCTGTGCAGCCACTTCACGGGCCTCGTCACCCACGATGCGGAGAAGAAGAAACCCAAAGTGGCGGAGCAGGCAGCAGGTGTCGAGGCGCCGCGGGCCACCAAGCAGCTGGAGGAACGTTTGCGCAAGGAGCGCATAATTCGGGCCAACAATTTGCTGGACCAATTGAAGCCGGGACACCGGGCCCTGCATCGGGCACTGCTCGAGAGCGAGATGCTCCACCAGCGCAGTTTCAATGAGGCGCTCAACCGGGAGATCGCCGAGGATGCACGTCGCCAGCAGGAGCTGGATGAGGCCATGTGTCCGGAGGTGCTCATACCCTTTAGCAACATCACCGAGGAGGAGCTGGCGGCAAAGGAGGAGGAGAAACGTCAGGCCGTTCGGCTCGCCATCGTTCAGGATCTGGAAACGAAGCGGAAACTGGCGGAGGCCGAGAAGGAGCAGCGACTCTTCGACGAGACGGTGGAGCGGGCGCAGTACAAGTGCCTACAGGACAAGGAGGAGAAGGCGCTCAAGGAGAAGAAGGCACGCAGCATTGAGTTCAATCGCAAGGCCTATCGCGACTCCATGAAGCAGAAGGCCCAGATAGAGGAGCGTGAGTGGGCACAATCCTCGGAAATGAGTGGAAAGTAAACACCAATCCTCTCCACAGATGAGCGCATTTGCGATGTGATCGATGAGCGTCGCAACTGCGTCTACCAGGTAGCCACGCGCCACTTGGATGGCCGCTACAATGCCCATCTGAAGGAGACGCGTGCGAAACAGCATCGGGATCGCGAGCAGCGGGCCGTGCGCATCTGTCGACTGCAGCAGGCGGGAAAGAGGCAGCTGGAGGAGCGCCAGGCAAGCGTGGAGGATCGCTACGAGTTCGAGACGCAGGTGGACGAAGGGCGACGCCAGTGTGAGCTGCAGGAGCTGGCCAAGCAGCGCAAGGACTACCAACTCGTGGAGAAGCGCGAGGCCGAGGAGAAGCTCAAGCGGGAGAGGGAGCTGCAGCGCTTCGAGGTGGCCCGACGGCTGAAGAACGCCGAAGCCAATGAGCACTTTGAGATCTCCGAGCAGCGGAAACGCGACAAGGTGAAGGCTGAGGTGCGCGACACGCTCTACCGCCAGCGGGAGGAGTTCATAGAGCAGCGTCAGCAGGAGCTGATGCGCCTGTCCGCCTGCGACGACGATCCGCACCTGCTGGAGGACAAGAAGTTCTACGAGCAGGCCGTCGTCCTCATGGAGCAGTCCCGCAAGGTGGGCCGCCCCCTCTATCCCATTGCCACGGCCGTCGAGCGCTATGCGCGGGCCAACAATCTGGAGGTGCAGCCGGAGCGAGGACGCGTGAAGCGCAGCCAGCTGCGGGACTGCTGCTGGCCGGGGTACCATGCCAAGGCGGACCTTGCCTACCGCAAGTACGAGCAGGCGGAGATGTGCCGCGAGAGCCAGCGGGATGCCCGCAATCAGATCTACTGCAACGCCATCAAGATCAAGAAAATGGCCTCCGTGGAGAAGCCATACCAGCCCTGTGTGGCCTCCTGTCCCATCAACTGTTTCCATCGTCGCGGCATGCCCGCTGTGGACAGCACGGACTCCTTTGACTACGGCCCACATGTGTGCTACGAGGAGTCGCCACCGCTGGGCGCCTGTCCCAGTCGCATGCACTCGATGGCACCCAGCCAGCCGACACTCGTTGCACCGCCACCCATGCCAGAAGTTCGGGTGGAGGCCACAGCTGTTCCAAACGTTGCTGCCAGTGCACCAACAAGTGGAGCTGCACCCACAGCAGTGCCTACAGCCCCAGCAAAGCCCGCCAATGCCACAAGTGCTGGAGTACGTAGAGAATCTTTGCCTCAATCTCGTCCTCCAGTGTCTGTCAAGGCTCGCCGTGGATCCGCTCGAGGTAGCACTCTGGGCACAGATCCACGTGGAGGCATTCTTGGCATGCCCCAAGCCGACACTCGGGAACCAACTGGACAAAATCGTCCAGCAAATATACCCAATCCCACGGGCACCTGGGGCTCGGGACCGTTGCCCCAGCCACAGGCGCCAAAGAACCAGAAAGGATCTGGATCTGGATCTGGCAACAAAAAGTCACATGGCTATCGCTAGAGAGATCTAAAGGGAAACCCAAACCCACAGCCACACAACTATCATTCGAATCGAATCCCGCATCCCATTTAACATTTCCAAAATTTACGTTCTCTCGTGCTTGTTGTATTTTGATGTTTGTCCACTTGAGAGGGCAGCAAAAGAATGAATAAAAAATTGTTACACCGATCCCTCAGCCCAGCAGGACAGGACAGACGGTGGAGCACAAACAGTGAGAGGCAAAAGGAGAGGAAATGACATTAATGGTTTTTTAAAAGCACTTAAACTTGACGCAAGAGTTTCGGTACGCCTTTCCAACTTCTCCCACTGAGTGGGAGCTGGTCTAGAGGCGGACTAGAGACGGAGCAATCTCCTAACCGTAACCCTTCTTCCAGTGGCACTTGGCAGACATTACGCGCTTTGTTTAGCAGCGGAAAAAAGGAGAAGCGAGTGGCCTGGCCAGCGGCAATGTCTCGGTAGAGTGGCACGGCAAAATGTTCCATAAATTCCAATTAATGCGTGGCCAAAGTTATTAGGTTTCGTCTCCGCCATCTCCATCGCTTCCATCTTCATCAATTTGTGACTGGCGCTGAGAGTGACATCCCTTTTTGTTTCATTTAGCTTATTAACGGGGGGCAGACATGTCCGGTGTTCCGCAGAGTCGGCCATAACTTAATTTGAAGTCTGCCAAGAAGCAGTCTTTAGGCTTAGTCTGCGAGAAAACTCTCAGTGCTGGTAAGGCGAGGTCACCGCCGGGTCAGCACGCTAATTTCCGGGCAATCTCATCAGTATAATTATGGCGAAGCTCCTTTCTTCTGTGTCGTTGGCAGGCACCAAGCGGCCCGAACAGGCGACTCCCGGCGGCTTAATCAGCCAGCGTTTAGGACTTTGTAGTCTTTTGGGGCTCGGTCGAGCGCTCAGCTTGAAATTATAGCAACTGAGACTCTTTTTTTTTCCACCATCATCCGCTCTGTGAAGTTGTGAAAAGTTTTGACCCGGCTGGCAAAGTTAACCAATTTGGTGTATTAAATGTTCATAATGAGAGTGCTGGGGCAGGGCAAATCTCTTCAGTTCAGAACTGAGTGGACAGCATGGGGCATGGGGGTGCCATTTTCGGAGTACAATCTATGCAGATTAATAATGATTATTATTTTTGGCAGCTTCAATGCTGTGTGCCATGAGGAAATAAACCAAAAATATCAATTTGTATGCTGTCCAAGGACATCTGATCTCTCTTTCTTTGTTTTCCATCGACGTTTGTGTAGTTTTTTCGCTAATAAAATTGAGATTGCACAGGGCTGTGGGTACATAGTGTCCAATTTCGTTTATTGTTTGCCCAACGATGAGGGTTGTGGTTTGTGCCACGAACGAAAAACAACATTCTGAAAACATATCTGCTCAGGTGCAGAGCTGGTGGAGTTGCTGTTCCATCGCTGCAAAAAGTAGAGTAAATATTTCTAATCGAATCTAGATATCCCCAGAGTACAGCATCGAATTGAGTTGTCGAGTGCAAATAATAATAGAATGTTCTGCCGCCGACTTTAAGCCGACTTTTCAATTACTCAAGCCTTTGATGGCCTGGCCATCAAGTCCAACCAGCCGGAAGGAATTCGCATTGTGTTTGCAGTCTTGTCTTTTGATTAGCAAAAAGCTGAAAGTATCTACAGGTGGCAGCCCACAGACAAAGCAAAGTGGAGGGAAACCTAAAAGGCTGAATTTTCCATTGTAATGTAAAGCAAAAATCTCTTTCTCATTATACGCATCGCCAGTGGAAAACTCAATACACACATACCAGCAACGGAATGAGAAATTACTTAATGAAATTAAGTGTGAAAAGTGTAAGTGCCTCCCCAGAGAGACAGAGTGGAAGGCGCGAGTCGAGTGGCAGACCTGAAAGCGGCAGGCAGCAGGCAGCAGGCAGCAGGCGGCAGAGCGGCAGTAAATAATAATAAGAGAATGACTTACTGAAGCGCTCTTGGCCCAAGCCCATTATCGGCTTAGCAGGTCCGCGGCGCTCGCAAGTGGATTTTGATTGCGCAATCTAGCAGCAAAAAGGGGCAGCCAGCAGGCAACAAGTTGAAAGCGCAAGAAGGAGTCGAAGCTAAAGTTATTTATGCCCACAATAATAGAGAGCCAAGTAGCTATTGAGAAGCAGTCTATTGAGCACTGTTTCGTAGTGCATTTGATGTTCTTTTGTGTTACATTTAATGCCAAGGACACTTAGTCGTTATTGTGCCTCGAATCTAGGACTCAGCCTCCGCTGGTTTTGGCTGCAAAGCGCTCTCGTGCAGCTGAAACCCGTAGAGACTGCAACGAAGAGAGAGAGAGAGAGAGAGAGAGACAGAGTTTCAGTTGGGCAAATGACAGGCCAGAACTCAAATCTAAACACTCACCGTGGCACATATTTCTCTTGACTTGGCTGTGGGCGCAATTCGGGCCAATGCATGAAAAACATATGGGGAAAACTTGGCCCAAACATGCAGCCATCCAACGCGGCATTTTCCGGCGCTGGCTCGAATATGTCCTTGCACCTCGGACAGTAGATATTTACCAGCGACTCGTCGTAGATGGTGCTGGACCCTATGGGCAGCACGTGCTGACCGTGGCAGTAGACCCGCGGACAGAGCCCAAAGGCGCCGCGCTCAAACTTCATGCGCATGGCCTTGATGCCATGTGGCGTCAGAATGTAACGCGCATGAATCAAGCCGTACAGCCACTCGGACTCCATGTTGCTGCCCTCGCCTACCCACTTGCGCCGCCAATATTTCTTATCGAGTATGTCCCCTAAAGCATCCGTATAATTGGTCACCGACTCGTTCAGTCCGATCAGATTGAACTGATCCTGCATGTAGTCCAAGGGCACGCGGCACAGAAACTCATGGCCGGGGCGGCTTAAGAACCAACCCAGCCAGCTGTCGTCGCCGATCGGCGGGGCGTGAGTTCTGCTTCCTCTGCGAACAAACGAGTAGTCAAAACAAAGATATTAGCTAAATGCAAAGGTTCTTACGAATGGAGAGCCATTCTTATTTCTGGCAAAAGAATTACGAGTGCAAAAACTGAAAGAAAACGAAATAGTGATGGGCAAACGATATGAAACGATGCTACGATAGTTCGATATTTGCGATTATTCGATTGACTCGAGCTTGCGACTAGTTAAGTGGAGGATCTATGGGGTACGGGGACCGTACTGGAACTTGTGCCTTGGGAGTAGATCCAACCCCGTTCCGCTTGCAGTCTTAAGCTCTGCGTGCCAATTTTTAGATAAGAAATAACCCCTCCCGCCCGCTCGCTTGCCACTTGCTTGCTTCATGGCTGTAACGAACTTTTTGATTCATGGCAAAGATTACGGCTCTGCTCCTTAGATTTCCGAGTATACGCAGTTGATTGAAGCACTCCGAACCAGAAATTGGTTAGCATCAAGAAGTTGTGAAGGGCCCACGACAGCCTGGGGAGCAATACATAGGTGAGTGCGATGCAGGGAATGAATGGATTGGAGTAGACTTGGAGTAGAGGCAAGAAAAAAACAGCCGCATGCAGCGGGTGTGGTGTCCACGCATGTCAGTGTGCGTGTGTGTGTGTGTGTGTGTGTGTGTGTTTTTGCGTTTCTTTTCCCAGCTCCATTCGGTCAGCTACGCCGTTGCTGTAAATTCAATTCCCATTTTCGCTTAAAAGTTTTTAACTTGGTTATACCGTTGGCTCCATCCCTCATTCCAGCCATCAGGCAAGCAGAAAAAAACCAAAGATGGAAGGAGAGAGAGAGAGAGAGAGATAGAGAGAGAGTGCACAAAAAATGCCCTTGAGACAAATTAAGTGATTCACCCGCTTACACATTTTTCCTGCTGATTACTTTTGCCCCCATCCTCAGCACTGGTTGGAGGCTGAAATTGAATTGCCAAAAACTCGAAGAGAGAAAAGATAGAATGAGGAATTGCTCTCAATGTTTGATAGTAGTGCCGCAGGGCATCTACCATTGCCATTACTTGTACACACAAAGGCTACAGATTTACAATTTGTTTGCCAGCTGCGTGGCCTTGAGCTCCGCATCGATCTCTCGGCGTATGGCCTCAATGTGATCCGCCAGAACGTGGCGCTCAATCATGCAGAGTGGCTGATTGAAGCGCAGCACAGCCACTTCCAGTTGGTGTTCGTTGAGCGTGGTGCCACTCATCAGGGTGCGCACCACATGCTTGACGGCCGTCGGCTCGTCCACGGAGTCGACCAGCTCGCCCGCATGCTTCTCCATGTATTCGCGTGCCGTGTGGCCGGCGCGGCCAGTGCTGTTGCCCGACCACTCGTAGTAGATGCCCGATGGCTCCGTTTGGAACAGATGCGGCTTGCCATCACCGTCGAAGCCGCCCATCAGGCAGGAGAGCCCGAAGGGGCGCCGTCCATTACTCTGGGTGTAGTTCTGCTTCATCTGCGCTATGAAGCTGAAAGGAAAAGGGCTGCAATGAGTTTTTGGGCAAAGCAAAAGCGAGGAAATTGCTTTTACCGTGTTATGTACTCCACCGTTACGGGCCGCTCGAAATTCAAACGATAGCTCTGGGCCTCCGCTTGGGCGCGGCTGATCAAGACGCGGGCATCCGCAGTGAGGCCGGCAAAGGTCATTACCACGTGCTCGTCGAGCATGCAAATCTTGCGCATGGAACGCTCCTCAAACAGCGGATTGCCGCAGCGCTTCTCCACACCCACCACAATGCAATCATTGGTGCGTAGTCCCACCTGAAGTAGAGCAAACAATACAGAGTTCAGATACCAGGCAATCCATTAAGCTGCCACTTACCGCTGTGGATCCACGGCGCACTGCCTCCTGGGCGTACTCCACTTGCAGCAGATGGCCATCGGGCGAGTAAATGGTTACGGCACGATCGTAGCGATCAGCCATGGGAAACAATAAACTAAACTTCTAGTAATTTTAAAGGTTGGTTGAAACTGATTGACGCAGCCAACTTCACATCGAAACTATCGAATGAATATCGAAAAAGATTGACTTCTTTTTGTGTGTGTTTGTTCTGCGATAGTTGAAAAAACAAAAGCCAAAAGCTACAATAATAAATGGCAAATCATAATTGAATTTATTTGCATTTGCGCCATGCGCCGTTGGCATTCTATTCATTTAAATTCACAATTTGATTGTATTACTACCATGTTAATCGGATGAAATATGACACAAATTATGGAGACAATGACCATAAATTGGTTTGATATTAACCGCAACCAATGTGGAGCGTTATCCTCACTTCCCTGTCGACCCTGTTGCCACTTGAAATCTGTTTGGCCATTAACCAAAATGCCCCCAGAGCCAACCCAAGCCGACCAGCTGCTGCCCAGACAGAGAGAGAGAGAGAGCAAAAAGTTGACAACAAAGTCGCAGGAAAATGCAACAAAAGAGCAAATCTGTGGCAAATGTAATCGCAATCGAGAAACAGCTTCATTTTCCTAATGTGCTTAGCCAGGGCCCAGAACGAACCCCCGAGAGCCGGGACCTTGCCTTGCCACGATGCGGTGCTTAGTATGCCGTGCCACAAGCGCGCACTTTGCCATAAATTTATATTTAACATTTTATGACAACCGTGTGGCAGTAGGAAGGACACTAGAGCAAGGACCAGAAACAGAAACAGAATCAGAGACACGAACCTAGAGGTCGGTGGGGTGGAGGACGAGCGCCAGCCAGGAAGTGTGCCGCATACTTACCAGGATTAAACACGTGCCGCCCCACTGGCCATCGTTTCATGGGCGCCCGCAAACGTTTGCGAAGTGCGACGGGCAAATAAATAAATTAAGCGCGACTGCAAACAAAACGACCAGCAAATAGAATCACGCCAAATGCAATTATTCCAACTGATTCGACAGTTTACCCATTTTACATTTACATTCCCCCCGGGCGACTGGGGCACTGGCGGAGGCCCATTCCCACCTATTGCCGTGGAAATATGTTTTGTGATATTAATTCTAGTTTGCTTTATTGTGCATAAAATGGTTATGGCATTTGCCGCAGGCAAATGGTAGAGTCGCTCGCTAAATGAATAAATATCGAAATTGATGTGCCATAAAAATGCATTAGGCGAACGCACAGCAAAGCCCCAAATGGTCATGGCTATGGTCGTATGTGATATTTGTGTATAATATTTGCACACCCTTCGAGTGTCTACATGTGTTTAGTAACTATTATTTGATAGTTTTTAACAGGGGCAAAAGTTCCACACAGAAATGTGCGAGTCTTGCGCGCACTTGCGCGAAATAAAGTAAATATTTTCAACGTACACAGGAAATGGGAGGGCCTTCATTAGCACGCTCTGCCCGATGGAGTGGCCCTAGGCAATGTGCACAAAATTAAGTATACGCCGTGTTTTCGATGCGTGCCCTTACCATTCTGACGTTTGATTAAGCACTTGTACCCCCAATAAACACTCGATACCGGGAGAAGAGTAGCAAGACGCAGAAATGTTCCGCACTAACACGAAATTGCCCTTGAGGCAGTTGTGGAGGCAGAAGGCAGCCACCATAAACAAAAGGCAACAACATGAACCCACCAAGAAACAGCAACAACTTTTCGGGTTTTTGGGCGGGCAACCCCAAGCCAGGGTAGAACTTTGCACGATTTGTTTGCTTCGAGCTTAATTTGTAGCGTCAAATGGTGTTGATTGTTGTTTTTGGCAGGATCCCCTGCATCCCTGCTTCCCTGCCTCTTTGCCACCCCGCTACTTTCAGTCGCCATCGCAACTAAAGACCCAATAAAAGTGGAGGATGCTCCAATGGATAAACAGGGTTTGCTTGAATATTCCTTCAAGTGGCTTCGGCAGAACTGCCACTCGAAAGTCCCTGCTGTCAGTGTCCATACATATGTATGTGTAAATTAATGACGAACAATTTGAACACGATGTGCTCGATGAGATTGGAGTTGGGCAAATGGGTTAACATGTCGTTCTCTCTCAACGTTCTCTCTCTCACTCTCTCCTGCGTTAACTTATTTTGAGTCACTTACAAATGAATAAACAACTCTTTAATGTTTAATAGTTAAAGCTGAAACTATTCAACTGCCATTCGAGCACACATTTCCCTTGTTTTTGTATCAATTCAATCTCATCCTTTGATTCTGCAGACACATGTTTCCCTTGCCTACACTCCGTGTGGTCTTCAGATAAAGCGAACGATAGCTAAATGCAAATGACCTTTGACCATAGAACGCAGTCTGGCATGCAACGTGCAGCGTGCAGCGTGCACTGCTTCGAGTGGATGCTGTCATGTGTCTCGACTAAGTAAACACATGGACTAAGCGGAGGAAGAGCGGCAGAGCACTCACCTGGTGTACCAAATGGCGCCCAGACGCAGGACTCGCACACAGAGTTCTTTTTAATAAACCGAGCGCTGCACACGGCATTGTTGACTCGCACATCCCATCCTCCTGTCCGCCCATTTATGTGTAGATGTTGCAAGTGCGCCGCCCCCAAAGTGCCCCTTAGTGTCAACGAACTTTCGCTGCTTTGCCCATTAGCCACTAGGACGATGAGTTGAGTCGTTGCCATCAAAGGTTCGTGGACGTGGACACAGACATGGACCAGGCAAGCCGCTTATTATGGGAAAACTGGCCAAAGCAACAGCAAGCAGGAAGGGCCATCCCGTGTGCGATTCATTAACTAAACTTTGATGGAGAATCTATCACAGTTGCCCCCTAATAAGCAAGTAACTTTACGTGAGCGGATATTAGCACAGAGCACACAGAGTCAATGATGAATTTAATAAGGCTAATGCTGTTTGGTGGGGGGAACTTGGAGCCTGGAGATTGTCTCTTGGCCAACAATTGAATTCAAAAATGGAAGCTGCACTGTGGCTGCTGCAAATTCCATTTCCAGCTGGCCGTAAAGTGCAACAGCAACTCCATTAGTCAGCATTCCACTCGCTGCTTCCACCCTGCACCACTTCAAGCCAAGCGGGAACAAATGCTGTGCAAATTAATGGCCAGACGGGAAGCAAAGGGCTCCGCGAAGGAGCTTGAAAGTATTGATAGATGGAAAAGTGCACGGCAATGAAGATGGAATCGAATCGAGTCACAGCCAAGTGGTGGGGCGGGATGAGAATCCACCTACTAATGGTCAGCAATGGGGGCAGCTGAGTGCTGCATCTGTCGCTGATTTCCACTAAAAATTGTTGAAATTCTCCAAAGTTGCCTGAGAGAGAGAGAGAGTCGTTAAAGAGGTGCAGGACCTTAAGTCGATGGCAGTGGGGAGAGAGAGAGAGAGAGAGAGAGAGCGACACAATCAAGGCAAAAGCTCTTCGATAATTTATGCAGCTTACCGCAGGACGATGGACTGACGGTGTGTGTGTGTTTGTGTTTGTGTTTGTGCATAGGGAAACATGGAAAACAACCAAAATTACATCTAACGAAGCCACAAAATAAGCAGAATGGATACTGGCAAGCAAATAACCAATGCAAAATCAATGCCCCAACCAGCGGCACCAGTGGTCCACTCTCCGCAACTCTTTCACGTTGTGGTTGGGTGGGGATCGATCGATACGTCTCCACTTTACAGAGTTTGCTGGTCCACCCCTTGACCCCGCCCGCACTTCCTTCCTTTCGTGCATATAAACATTTTCCAGCGAGTGTGTTTGGCGACATATCTGTGATATTTTTATGGCCAACGTGCAGCCAGGCCAGGCCAGGCCAGGCCAGAGTGGACCAAAAAAAGAGACCGAAAATAGTGGTGGAGAGGGGGGCCTCCTGTCTGTAGAGCAACCTTATCGGGCGTATAATCCACTTTATATTTTCACACTTGCACTCAAATTGAAAATAAACATAAATTCGGGTTACGCGGCAGCCCAGAAAAAATAAACAGAGACACAAAAAGGATTACAAAGCCATTGAAAATGGGATTTGGTAGATATTTATTGATGCATAAATGAAAGACCCCAATGCTCAAGAGACTTATAGTTGTATTGATTAACTGTAGTCTGAGCTTTCGTTGTCAGTCTCCTTATTATTATTCTTTCTTAGTTAATAAAAAGTAAATTTCAAATAGCTCTAAATACCAAAGTGACTTCTAAATTCTAAAATGAACACGCAAAAGGCAAAGACCACAACTGCCATGGCACTGGAGACCCGCGGCAGACTCCATAGTGCATCGAAGAACCCAGCAAAGGCAGTGGCAAAGTCAGTTCCGCAGCTTAGAATGCGTTCAAAGAGCGATCTAGCAGCCCTACCCAATCCGTATGCAGTGAGCAGCCGCATCTATCGACCCTCCAGCTCCACCATCTTCGACTACAACCTGTCGCCGGTGGAGCAGCAGCACTTCCGCAACTGCAGCGATCCCATGAAGTCGGTGCCGGCAGCGGAGTTGGAGCTGCTGCGCAGTGGTCAGCGATCCACGTACCTGGAGCGCCGCTACGAGCACAGTCCCGACGATAAGTACAACTATCCGGAGGCGACCAGCTGGCGCTACGGTTGGTTCCACTGTCAGTCTGAACCCTGCCAGAAAAGGCATCCCAGAAAGGACTAAAGTGCTTGAAATATTCCTAAAGTCCTAAAGTTGAAAAATCTTAAAGTGTATAGTGAACAAAATGAAATTAAATACGCAATGGAAACAAATTTATTTCCGCATCTGCTGCTGCTTTGTGCATCATCTCATTTTCGGGGGCATGCAGCACATGCCAAGTGCTTTAACTGACAGGCCCGACTTTCTGACAGCCGCCCACAGACGGCTGAAATGTTTCTCAGTCTTCTTTCAGTTGTTTAGAAATGCTCGTAGGCAGGACGGAGGCGCGTGCAGAGGCGCTCTCTGGTAGTTTTTAAAGTTTTTCTCCGCCCAAAGTTGCCCCTTGATCCGGTTGACTGGACCCCCACCCGAAAAAACATACAAAATATAAAACAGCAACGACACATTGCATAAGCCACTCACATTCTGAGGCGGAACATGGCACTGCGACTGCAACTTCTACAGACAACTTGCTGCTGCACCACGGGGCATCGTATTCGTATGAGTATTGTTCTGTCTCTCTGTCTTGGCATTTAAAGTGCCGCACAAGTTGAGTAACTCTGGCGAAAGTCGTTGCGGCTGTCGGTTTTGGTCTTTGGATTGACTCATGAAAGTCCCACAACTTTTTAATTGTTCTGCAACAATTCTTCACATATTTTCTACTTATTTTTGGTGGCCGAATATCCCGAGTCTTTAAGCCATGGCCAACACAGGGTACCCGCAGACTTATTAACTTTATGCAGTCCATGGCAATGCAGTTTGAATTTGCTGGGTTGATTCCGGGTTGAGTACTGTCCACCGTCCCCCTGTCCTGTCCCATGATTGTCTGCAATTCATGGCAGATTTCGAATTTCATTGTTGCATTCCAAGCACTTTGAGCTGAAGCAAAAACTTTTTGCCCAGCGACCCCAGCCCCGAAGTTTCTTGTCCATCTTCATCGGAGCTGCCACTCCACTGCAGTCTGCTCCACTCGATGGCTGGGCTTTGCCTGATTGCAAACAACAATTCTCACTTGGGTAGCCAGGGATCTCCCTGGGGTCTGAAGTTTATTATTATTTGGCTTGTTTCGCATTTTTCGTGGTTTTATTTACCTTTAAATACAGTTTCGCTGCCATGAGTATGAGTGCGAGTGCGAGTGCGAGTACGAGTATTCTCTTCCCTAGTTTGGCCTTTATTTATTTTCGATTTGATTGGTGGAGGAAAGTTTTTCGTGTATTTATTTAGTTTTAACAAACATATCGAGAGCTAGAGCAGAATTTATCCCAGACCTTGATTGATTAGAACATTTTTAATGCAATCAACCGGACTCTGGTCCAGTCTACAGACCTGAGAACAGCCTCCCATTCGAAGGAAATATTCCCAGAGTTTAACTGCCAATCTTTTTGCCTAATTTGGAATGGTATTTAAACCTTTTGCCGTGGTGCAGCACCTTCTGTGCATCTGTTTGCATCTCCGTCTCTGCCCTGCAATTATTTTTCTAAAATGTAAAGTGAATTTATGGGCCAGTGGCTTGGGCAGAAATATGAAATTGTTGCCCATTTTGTGGTTTATTTTCATTACTCTGCCATTGCCACCGCAATATTCTGGATGCTGCTGAAAAACGAGGAGCAACTGGCTGCCAGTTGAAGCCACAGTCCTGATGGTTGCAACAAAAGTTTCGGTGCTTGCGGTTATCGATTGCTGCCGAATCACTGGCATTGTGGCAACACAGTTCTAGGTATGCCCAAGGGCTCGTCTAAAGCTCAGCTCAAGTTCTCACCTCGAGGGGATTGTAATAAACAATGCACTGATTGAATTATATGCAGCCAGTCAATGCGGTTGCCAGCAGACAAATAGATAGCCAGCATCCAGTTGAAATCCATTAGTCAAGCAAAAATCCCATCTTTGTCTTGGTTTTCGGTGCAGAGAATGAGTTTTAATTGAAGGGAAAATTCATGAATCTGTGCGTTGATTTTATACTAACTTTTTTTATTGCAAAACACTTTTACAAATTCTCATAAACTAATTAATTCATTCAAGCACATGCACATTATTGTTTAGAATTATCACCTGGTTTCTCACAAAATTCAATTTTAATTCTTTATTTTAAATATCTCTCCGCTCTGGCCTGCTGCATCCTCCATTCGTATCGATAGGAATTTAATCTGAACTAAATTGTAAATAAACATTTTCGCTTAATGATCACAATCGCTTCGCCAAGTGAAGTGGCGCATCTTTCCATTCATCGACAATCATCATTTTGAGCTGACGAATGCAGATGCGTAACATATCGGTTTATGTATATATATGTAGTGTATAACTAGGTTAAAGTATTTCAAGTGGGTCTTGGATATTCATATTTGTTTGTGTTTGTGCCTACTCGCAGAGCGAGAGAGAGAGGATACTTTACTACAGCCACGCGTTAAGTAGTCGTGAAGCATTGTCGCTCCTATTTCTATCATCTATCTTCTAGCATCCATCTAGCCAGCATCTAGAATTCAAGTTAAATACAGCATTTGATTTTTCGTATTAGTGTGGGGCGTCGTTCTGTCGGTTTCTCTCGGTTTGTTGTATGGTTTATGGTTTATGGTTTATGATAATTGTAATAAATTAATTGCAATAAGAACATTCTGGACACATAAGCAAACATATGTAACCGCCTCCTTCTCATGCTTCACTCCTTGAATTACTTTGACTTGGGAGGCGTCTTGGTCGTTCTTTTCTTCGAGGCCTTGTCGGTCTGTTAGAGCACCTTCTTGGAGGAATTTGCCGAGGACTGGGCTTGAGGCGATGCGCTTGCCGCGGCCGTTGCCTTATTCGTTGCAGGCGGGATGGCTGCTGTTGGTGTCGGTATCGTGGGCGGTAGGTTAATGTCCTTGGGCAGCAGCTTTTCCATCTGACGCTCGGCTGCCTCGCGGATCACGGCTTCTGTGGTGACATTGCCGGCACTTGCGGAAACGCTACCACCTCCGGTACCGCCACTGCCCCCGCCTCCGCCGGACGACTTGGGTGGACCGGAATCTTTAGAATCTTTTTGCGGGGCGCTGCCTTTGGGATTCGTTTTGTTATCCTCTGGTGGCTTTGGGGGCTCATCGCTCAGCTCCTTGGCACAGTCCGTCAACGTCTGAGCCGTGTCTTGGAATGGGGCCTAAGGTGAAGGTCGGAATGATTACCAATTTTGAACTGGGAATGAGTTTGGGATCAGCTTACTTCTGCCTTCAACTTTTTAGCTATGTCCGTGGCACCCAAATCGCTGGCTATGTCCTTGATCTCCTTGGCAGAGTCGTGAAGTCCATCCACCAGACTGGCCAGCTCCTTGTCCTTCTTGTCCACCTCAGCCTTGAGCTTCTCGGCATCCTTTAAGCTACGAGCAATCGCCCGCTCAATCTTCTCCTCTGCATGCAAAATTTGCTCCTTGTCCAGCAGACAAATGAGCTCATCGATGGCCTTCTCACTCAGCTTGATGTTGTCACGACCAATAGACTCCATCACCTGTGAAAGATAGAAGATAAAGAAAGGGTTAAAATGGTAACATCAAAAGCGATTCGTTCTTAATTGCCTTTCGTATTTCGTTGACGGTAATGACGCCATCCTTGTCGGCATCAAACTTGTCCAGCACTTGCTCGATATGCTTGAGGCGCGCATCGTCGCTGGTCTCCTTGAGCCGCTTAATGTTCTGCATGAGATCGTCGATGTGGACAATTTCCTCGTTGCGTCGCTTCTTTGCCTGCGTTGTGAGCAACTGGGTAAACTCCTCCAGCTGCTTCTTGTCGATATTGGTGGCTTGGCTGTCAATGCTTTGGACAGCTTTGGTGATTTCGTTCACGGAAATGGCACCATCCTGATCGGCATCGAGCTTCACGAGCAAATCTTCGACTACTTTGAAACGCTCCCCGTCGGAGGCTTCTCGCATGCGCTTGATGGTGGCCACCAGCTCGTCAATGTGAACTGTGGGCTGGCGATCTGGGCTGGCTTCAACCTCCGCGCAATCGATGGCATTCGCCTGCTTGATCTGCAGCTGGCGATGCTCTAGATCATTGAGGACACCGTCCAGCTGGGATATCATCTTGTTGACCCGATTGTAGAGCAGCTTGGCAGCTCGGCTCTCGCGCACCGGCTCCTTGACCACCTGCCGCACCTCCCGCAGCTCCTCGACATCCTCCTTGTAGTCACGCAGCTCCTCCTTCAGCTCCTTGATGGTCTCCTTCTCCACGACCATCTGCTTGTCGGAGGAGAGTGTGTTCAGTGCATCGGAGAGCATTTGTACGTCCGTGGAGGAGATGCCCTTGTCCGAGTCGGAAGCCACGGGCACGGGCGCTTCCTTGTGCTCCAGAGTACGCGTCGCGCTTGTCAGCTGCTCGGCAAACACGTACGGAGCGGGTTGCTCATCCTTGATAGCTGTGCGCTTGGCAATCACCTCTTCGTGCTCCTCCTCGCGCTCTTCCTTGATCTTGCGCTCCTCCTCCTTGATGATCTCGATCTTCGTCTTGTTGTCCACCTTGCCCTCGCTCTCACCAATGGCATGTCGTGTGTGGGCACCCACCGCATCCGGCAGCACCCGCATCGTCTCCTTCAGCTTGTCCGTAGCATTGCCCTGATCGGAGATGAGCATGGCGCGGGACAGCAGCAGCAGCGTGGGTGGAACCTGTTCGTTCAGGGACAGATCGATCCACTCCTTCAGTTGGGAGCGCAGGCGTTCCTCGGTGAGACCGTACGCCCTCATGCCACGGGCCTTGCACGCCTGCTGCAGCTCAATCAGATCCAGAGTGTCCACGCCCTCGCGCACAATCACCCGATCGTCGGTGGCCAGGGAGCGCAGCTTGAGGCGCAGCTGGAACCGCAACAGATTACTCGTGCCAATCGTGTTCAGCTCAAGCACACGGCAGAGGGCCGCCAGTTGCTCCCGAGAGAGCGAGTCGAGTGTGATCTCATCGTCGAAGCGTTTGGCAAACTTGATAATGTCATCGTTGCTCACATTCTCACTGGGATGGCGGATCCTGTTGAAGAAGGCCTCGAACTGCTTGGCCTCCTCGCTGCTGTGCTCCTTATGCTGGACGGGCATTTGGTCCAGGGTCTTTTGCAGGAACTTGGCCACCTCCAGGCGCACGCTCAGCGACTGCCTCAGCTTCTCCTGCTGATCCTTGGCCGTTTGGAAAGTGGACGGCAGCATGCCTGGGAAGAATTTGATGAAAACCGGCAGCAAAAGCTCCATGAACGGCACCACAATGAACACCGAGAATGGAATCAATCGGAACAGATCGGATGTTGTCCTCTGGAGCTGCTTATTCTCACGTCTGGTGAGGCTCTTGCCGTTGAGCACTCGCCACAGAAGCTTCGAGCAGATGGCCACATCAATGAAGAGCAGCCGAAAGCCATGGTAGTAGTGTACCAGCTCCTCCCAGATGCGCACTCCCAGCGATTTCTTTGGTTTGGCCACCGACTTATCCGGTGCTTGGGTCAACGAGGTCTCCGTCGATCCAGCTGCGTCTGTGGGCTTTGCGTTCTCGTTTACATGCACCCCGGCTGAGGCGGTGGCCGCAGCCGCTGCCGTCTTTGTCGATGCCTGGCCATTGGCCACCTCCTTCATGATCTCCTCGACCTTCTCCTTTTGCTGGTTCTTCAGCTTCTTGACCGTAACATCGATCTTTGAGGTGGACGACTCGAGCAGGGATCGACTCGCGTGCAGATGTCGAAATCCATGTCCCGTATAGTTGTAGCCGTACCTAAATACTGACTCATGCTGAAAGAGTTTGCCCGGATGCGCCAGTGTACGCAGAGAGGCACTGCTGGCCGATGTGGATCTCCTCCGAGTGTGTTCGCATTCCCCTCCAGTTGCCACATTTGTGTAGTCAGCGGTGCAACAAGCGCAACTGCTTGTCTTTAGATCTGCAAAACAGGTCGAAAGATAATGTAAGTGAAATATTCCACAAAGGCATCTCCCAGAGCAATGGCCAAAGTAATGGAAACAGAATTATTTCCATCAGACATTTCCGTTTTACGTTTCTTCACCTTTTCCCAAGGTCTACCCCCACAACGCCAAAAAGAAAATAAAGGAAAAAACAGTTCAATAATCTCAAACAGCCGGCGAATTGTGTAAGCACACAAAGAAGGAGACGAACAAAAACAAAATAAATTATTAATCACGTCGAGCAACAATAGGCAAAAAGTTTGCTGCTGATAAGTAGGGTAGGACTATGACTCTGCCGCCTCTGGTGGGCTGTGCACTGGGCCCAGACAGAACGAGTTGATAGAGCTGATAATACGAGCTGCGAAGCGAGAAGCGACACTTGAATTAACACCTGGAGCTTATGTAAAGCGCAAATACTCTGATAACCAATTGAGCGAAACCCCCAGAGAGAGAGGGAGCACTGGGAAAATTCTCTTTTTGCTATAAATAAACAATGCGGCAAACATTTAGAAATGTGCGAAAACTGCACTTTTTCGACAATTCACTTTTGCTTTTCTCATTTCTTTGTGTTTCTGCTCACATTTGGCAATCGATCAAGGTAAATGTGAAACTCAAAAGAGGAGGAGTGCCCCCTCCACACAAAGACCAAGCGTATTCTGACCAAAAATAGGCGAACAATTTCGATTATGAACCTTGAAAATGGTACTCATGGGACTGTACACATCGCTGGCGGCGTCGCATTGTCTGTGCTTCTACCTGTCGCCGGCACCTGCCCCTCCCTGACCCTGACCCTGAACCTGTCCTCATTCCCATTTCAGGTCAACAAAATCCATAGAAAATAAGAATGAGCTTGTCTTGAATGGGTTAATCATTGGTCAGCTGACTGACGAAAACTCGCTTAGCCTGACGATAAGATTTATTTATCAATTTTGATGACAATTTCGAATTCAAGGCGCTGCCGCGCTAGAGGGAAATTTATAAATGGAGAAGGGAAATTTTACTGCCCACCAATCAGCTGGTCATAAGAAGTGCAATCAAAACAAACACACACACGCACACATACAGGGCGATGCGACGCACAAGCACACGCATACACACACACAGAGACGGGGCCCTCCGCGCAAACAAAATCAATGGAAAGTTTTGAGCCATATCGTGATTATCGGAACTTACAGCGTGTGTAGAAACCCTGAAGGTGGTAATTCGTTTTCAGAGTCCTTCCCTCGCGGCACAAAAGTGCATTCATGTTGATGCTTTTAGCCTGTGGGGCGGTGCGGGGTGGTGCTCTGCTCTTGCCAATCCGAATCCAAAAATGTTCTCAATTATAATTTTGAATTTTCAACAACGCTTGATGGTTTCCTTGCCTTTGCTGTCGTCAGGTTTTGTGTTGATTAAGTCCTTGAAGTTGCTTCTGATTATGTCGTTTCCTTCGGCGAATTTGATTGAGGTTCCTACGTCTAAAAGAAAATGAATTGAGTTAGTTTATGTTGCGCTCTTCAGGCTGGGATGAGAATTCAACTAATTTGTACATGTGCCGCAGCACATATTTACACTATTTTTGATTGCAAAAAAAAATGTGCTAACAAGTTGATCTTTAGACACACGCACTCGTTTAGACAACGTCGACGTCATCGACGGAATATCGCGCGATCTAACTTTTTTTGTTGTATCTGCTGCTGCTTTCTTTTCCCTCTTTTCATTTAAAATAACATTACACAACTACAGCAACAGTTTCGTTTTCTTTTCGATTCTCGTGTTCACAAATTTTATACGAGTGTGTGTCAACCGGTTGGTTACGGTTCCATTGTTAATTGGAGATTTGCGGTTAAACATAAACACCGAATATTGCAGCAACATTAATTTTACCATACATTTATTTATTTGATTTATTTTTACCACTATCGATGTTGGCTACTATCGATGTTTTTCCAGCCCTAGTTTCCAGCGAAACTATCGATAAAATATACCAAAATATACCTTTTCATTTTAAAAATATACTGTAGTCTTAAATCATATTCCTCGATTTTGGTTTTCTATTTGATATTACTAGCTTGCAACGACTTTTAACACTGAAATAATAGTTTAATCCGATTGAAGGATCAATTTGGCATATTATAAATACTCATTTTTATTGGATTATATACCAATTCGGTAAATTAAATGCAATTGTGTTACAGAAATGGAAAGGAAACATAAGTAAATATTATAATAAGCTCGGAGTGGATTGGTGGACAGTTCTTTTATGTTTACAACATAATTGTGGCTATACTCTGGTTTATTCATTGTAATTAATCAATACTTTTGCTAAGAAATACCAGACAATGATGACAAAATCATCACTATCACCGATTTCTTTGATTTGATTTATTTCGTTGAGATAAACCACTACACTGTTGCTACGCCATTCTTGCTGGTCAACTGGTTCCAGCTCCAGTTCCGTTTTTAATTCCCGACGTTCATATGAATATTTCTGCCGATAATAACTTTGCTGCTATTGATAAATAGTAGTTTTTACTATCGACTATTTGGGCGGTTCATTCGAATAGAGGCAGGGAAAAATGGTATTGGGCCATGCGTATTTGATAATAATCCCATCCATAAAAAGTTTCTATCTCATCTAATCGATGAGTTTTTTAATTGCCGGCAACAGTCCACGCAGTATTTGATTTGTCATTAGGGCGTAGAAAAACCAGACACTGTGTGGCTGTCGTTTAATGATAAATATCTGCTTTGCCATTGGCCCCCACCACCCATATATAGATAAAGGATTTCCAAGCTCTCACTTCATTCAATCGCAAAACGTGGAAGAGTAAACTTTAAAATGTGTTTGCGGACATTCTTTACACTCGTCTTCACAATCAGTTTGGCTGAGGCTACGGCCTTGGGGAACATTGTGAAATCTATAAAGAGAGAGCTGTCGTTCGGGACTATTCTCCTGCTGCGGAATGAAAAGGATGCCGATTACTGCTGGACACGAGAAGACTTTCCTCAAGACATTCCCATCTTGAACTTGAACTCGAATCAAAGTCTTTATCTAAAGCAGATATTCAACTCTGAGATTTTGGCAATGGTTTGTCAGAACCGCAGTGAAGGCGACACCATGAAGACTCTCTACAGAAATCTACAGGATATTCGCTACACTCCAACCATCGTCATGACCCGGTCGGATACCAATCTCAGTGCTTTGTTCGAGGATTGTCGCTCCCACAAGGTGCTCAATGTGCTGGCCCTGAAGGACTTTGATCGACAATTTGTCTACAGCTACCGTGCCTTTCCTTAACTGCAGGTGGTGAAGCGTCGAGTGATCCACATTCTACGCTACTTCGAACCACAAGTAAGAAACATGCAAGGATCCCCCATCAACGTTTTACCCGACAACATTATGCCTCGCACAGTGGTCTATCGAGATGGTCAGGGACGTCGTCAGATGACGGGATACCTAGCGCACCTAATGAGGAACTTTGCCAGCACATTGAATGCCACTATGAATATCTGCTGGGAATATGTGCCTGAGGAAGAGGTCACCAATAAAACAACGATGGTCAAACTGTCAAACGACGGATTTGTGGACTTTCCCCTTGTCATTACCGGTCCTCACGACTTCCTGTACAAAGATATTATTGTGATGGAGAGCTCCAGTTGGTTTCTGATACTCCCCACGGAGGCGAACACCCCACGGGCGCGACTCTTCTGCAGGACTGAGGCCTACAAACTGGTGCCTCTGCTGATACTTCTGGCTCTAGTACTCAGCTATGCCCAGCGACTGGAAGAGGGTCTGGGTCCCAGCGTAAGTTTGGGCAGCGTTTGGGAATATGTCCTGCATGGGGTCTTGGCCCAGCCACTTTCCCTGCCCCATGGTCCCTCCTCGAGGGTCATCTACATTTATGGCCTTCTGTTTTTTGCCAGCATGCTCACGTGCAGCATTTTCAATGTCAGTCTGGAGACGTGGCTGGTGCATCCACCTGTCGATCGTATGATTCTCAGTTTCCAGGACATGCTATTGGAGCAACGGAAAATTCTTTTTTACCATCCCGAATATTTCGCCATACAGAGGATTTTCGGTGAGGAAAGATTTGAGAACATAAGGGACATCTTTGAGATTACCAATTCCTCGAAACATTTCCAAATGATGCGAAGTTCCCTGAATCAGTCCTATGCATATCCCATAACCACCACCATGTGGCCACTTCTTCAGCTGGGACAGTCCAGGCTAACGCGTCCCATCTTCCGCAGGTCCAAAGAGATGATATTTAATCCGCTCGTACTCTTGTCCATTACCCTTCCCAAAGACTCAATCTATCGCGAGGCCTTCACCCATTTCCATTTGCGCACCCTCAACAGCGGGCTCTACAAATTGTGGTTCAGAAGGACCTTCAATGAGCTCGTTGAATTGGGTATGATGAGCTACCAAGTGGACAACAGCCCTCAGCCCTATAAGGATCTGGTGTGGGGGGATTTTATCTTCGTTTGGATGCTGTATGTTGGAGGCATCTTCGCCAGTCTGTTGGTTTTTCTTGTCGAGATTTTTTACTTTAAATGGCAGCGAAATACGATTAATAATTGAGAAATTTACGAGTTTTAATCCCACACTTAATAAATAATAAATATTTCTTGCAAGCTTAAGGGAAAGTGAAAAATAAATGAAGGGGGTTAAAGGGGTTTTTTTTTTATCAATAAAGGTGTAGTCAAGAATCCAGAGGGATACGTTGCAAGTAGCGAACACAAAAACGAGTGATAGACTGGACTTAAAACTAATTAATCGTCTAATTAGCTCACTGCCAAAGGCGCTAGAGCACACCGAGCGAGACTCGGTGAAACTCGAGTGACTCGAGAAAGGATTCAAGTTTTTAATTGCCGCCCTTAGCCATAGTTGGTTGGGTGGGTTGTCGGTAGGGCACAGTCCGACTGTCGTTCATTGATAACAATCGGCCATGCAGTTACCCCCGACCACCCATATATAGTTTAAGGACTTTCCAGCTCTCACCTCATTCAAGTGCAAAACGTGGAAGGGTAAACTTTAAAATGTGGCTGCGGATAATGTTTACACTCGCCCTCACAATCAGTTTCGTTGAGGCGCAGCGAGTGAACTTGGGAAACATCGTGAAATCTCTACAAATGCAGCTGCCATTTCGGTCTATTCTCCTGCTGCGGAATGAAAAGGATGCCGATTACTGCTGGACACGAGAAGACTTTCCTCAAGACATTCCCATCTTGAACTTGAACTCGAATCAAAGTCTTTATCTAAAGCAGATATTCAACTCTGAGATTTTGGCAATGGTTTGTCAGAACCGCAGTGAAGGCGACACCATGAAGACTCTCTACAGAAATCTACAGGATATTCGCTACACTCCAACCATCCTCATGACCCGATCGGATACCAGTCTCAGTGCTTTGTTCGAAGGCTGCCGCACCCACAATATGCTCAATGTGTTGGCCCTGAAGGACTTTGATCCCGAATTTGTCTACAGCTATCGTGCGTTTCCTCATCTGCAGGTGGTGAAGCGTCGAGGGTCCCACATCCGTCGCTACTTTGAGCCACAACTGAGGAACATGCAAGGAGCCCGAATCAACGTTTTACCCGACAACATTATGCCTCGCACAGTGGTCTATCGAGATGGTCAGGGGCGTCGTCAGATGACGGGATACCTAGCGCACCTAATGAGGAACTTTGTCAGCACATTGAATGCCACTATGAATATCTGCTGGGACTACGTGCCAGAGGAGGAGAGCATTAATAAAATGTCAATAGCCAGCCTTATGGAAAACGCAACTGTGGACTTTCCGCTGGTCGTAGACAGTGCTGGCGCATACCCGGACGCACATAACATTGTGATGGAGCTCTCCAGTTGGTTTCTCATACTCCCCATGGAGGCGAACATTCCTCGTGCGCGTCTCTTCTACAGGATTAAAGTGTACCAGCTGATCCCCTTGTTAATGCTCGTGGCTCTTGTGCTCAGTAATGCTCAGCGCCTGGAGGCAGGGTTGGGTCCCAGCGTAAGTTTTGGCAACATTTGGGACTATGTCCTACGAGGATTCCTGGCCCAACCACTTGTGCTGCCCCATGGCCTCTCCGCGAGGCTGATGTTTATCTATGGGCTTCTGTTTTTGAATACCTTAACCGTGTCGAGCATTTACAATGTCAATCTGGAATCGCAGTTTGTGCATCCACCCATCGATCATCAAATTCGAAGTTTCGAGGACATGCGATTGGAGCATCTAAAGGTGCTCGTTATGTCGGTCGATTTTCACTTCATAAAGAAGATTCTCGGTGACAGAAATTTCGAGAAAATAAGGGACATCTTTGAGGTGACCAACTCCTCGATATATTTCCAAACAATGCGCAGCACCCTGAACCCCTCCTATGCATATCCCATAACCACCACCTTCTGGCCACTGCTTCACCTGGCGCAGGCCAGGCTAACTCGTCCCACCTTTCGCAGATCTAGGGACTTACAGTTCTGCCGGGCACTGATTTTGGCTCTGCCCCTGCCAAGGAACTCAATCTACCGGCAGGAATTTAAAAACTTTCTCGACAATGCCCGTGCCAGTGGTCTGTACTCGCACTGGTTCAGGCAGACCTTCAATGAGCTCATTTGCTTGGATAAGATCAAGTTCAATGTGGACAATAGCAGCCAGCTCTATCAGGACTTAAAGTGGGAGGACTTCTACTTCATTTGGTTGGCATATATTGGCGGAGTTTTGGCCAGTCTGCTGGTGTTTCTTGTGGAAGTTTTGCATCGCAATTAATTAATTATCTAATTATCATTTAAGCGCAATAAACTTTTATTTTATGTGAAAAGTGTGGCACACAGAAAGTCTTGTTCTTGCTTGACTTTTTCTTAGACAAAGACAAACGTTAAATGTACTTGCAAGTCATGGAAAACTATTGCTACCTAATCAGATATTAAGGAGGTAATTGTCCAACGATTGGAACCCGAAATTGCCGTAGCTATCTTGCAGATACGGACATTTCATTCCTGGACAAACATTTCAAGTGTGAAGAACATTAAGATGTCGCTGGCGACTTTATTCTGCTTAATAGTTTCCCTCAGTTTTGCGGAGGCACAGGAAGTGACTTTAGTGAACATTCTGCAGGCTCTCAAGCTTGAGGTCTCCTTTCGCTCAGTGCTCCTGCTGCAGAACCAGACCAACAGTTGCTGGACCACAGGAGATCTCGACATTGGTATTCCCATTCTAAACTTTGATGCGAACCAGAGCTTCAACGTCAAGCTACGTTTCAACAAGAATCTGCTAGCCCTAGCCTGCTTGGACTCCGAGGGAGCAGCGGGCACAATGCGCGCTCTGTATGCAAATCTGGATGAGTTTCGCGAAACTCCGACGCTGCTAATGGTCACGCAGTCAACAAATATCAGCGAACTCTTCGCAGAGTGTCGTTCGTACGACATGCTCAATGTCCTGGCTCTGTGGGGCGCCGATCGTGAGTTCATCTACAGCTTTGGGGCCTTTCCTCGACTGCAGGTGCTGAGGCGTCGCCTGGGTGACATTCGTCGCTACTTTGAGCCGCAGGTGAGAGATCTGGCGGGTTACCAAATCGGCATCATACCATACACCATCTTGCCGCGCTCTTTGATCTATCGAGATGCACGCGGAGAGCGACAGATCACGGGATACCTCATTCAGTTCTTTAGAAACTTTGCCAGGAGTCTGAACACCACTCTGCTGTATCTGTGGCACCTTACGCCGCCGAATGAGACCCCGGAGCAGGATGTTGTAGTTGCCACAGTGAATGAGAGTCATTTGGATTTTCCACTAGTCCTATCCAACCTCGATCCGGAGCCGTTCCTTGCCAGCAGTGTGCTGGAGGTTTCCAATTGGTTTCTCATCCTGCCTGTGGAGCCAAATGTGCCGCCCTCCAGTCTGTACTTCAGCCTTAAGGGCTGGCCCTACTTTCTGACGCTGATGCTGCTGCTGGCCCTGCTGCTGGGCAATGCCCATCGCCTGGACTCGGGCATGTCGTTCGTATTGAGCTTCGGGCACATCTTCGGCGACCACGTGCTGAGGGCCATCCTAAGCCAGTCGTTTGTGTGGCCGCGACGCCTCTCCTCCAGCCGCACTCTCCTCTACATCCTGCTGATGGTGGCTGGCATCATCATTAGCACCTTCTACAGCGCCAATCTGTCAACGTTGCTGGTCGATCCACCAGCTGCCTATCGGATACGCAGCTACGAGGATCTGCGCATAAACCGCTTGAAGATCCTGCTCGCGGAACAAGAGACGGCTCTGATGAACGGCACCAACAACAAGAAATTCCACGAGAACATGGACACCTTTGAGATAATCCCGTCGACTGTGGAGTTTTTGGCCAAGAGGAGTGCGTTGAACCGCTCCTATGCCTATCCCGTGACCAGCACCCTCTGGCCATTTCTACAGATCAAACAGTCCCACCTGCGGCGTCCGATCTTTCGCCGTTCCCAGGAGATACTCTTCCTCGAGTTCATGCCACTCACCGCACCCATGCACAAGAACTCAGTCTATCGCAAGGTCTTCAATCAATATGTGGCCAACACGCACGCCAGCGGACTCTATGATCTGTGGTTCAGTCAGTCCTTCAGCGAGTTGGTTCGCATGGGAAAGCTCAACTACAGCGAGGAGACAGATCACGAGACCTATCACGATCTCATATGGGAGGATTACATTTACATTTGGTTCGTCTATATCGGAGGCACTCTCAGCAGCTTGCTGTTGTTTGTGCTGGAGTTGATAGTCGCCCAGACGCAAATACTTAATTAAATGTTGAATCAGTCAGTGTCTATCGGGAAGATTAAAAACTACAGCCGCAATGTCGCAATTTCAAACACTTTTTGCAAAAGCATTTTTATTTCAAGTTTCACACATTTGTATCTCTGCTCACTGCATCTTGATTTTCATCATTAAATGTTTATCCGATTTGTTTTCGTTT